TAGAAAGATGTCGTCTCTTAATAGGATTATTTAATCCTGAAGTATTTTCTTAAAAAGGGTTTTAAAGAGACAATTCTAGGCATACTTTTTCTGTGAAATTTTTTAAACAACCTTATTTTTATGTTGCATATCACTTCAACGCAAGCAATTGCTATTTTCTCCATACTTCAGATAAGATTTAAAGCAACCTTATTAATTAATGCTTTCATTACATTTTTCAATCCTTTTGTAGTTTGGCTTGTAGTAATAGGCCAAAATTAATTAATTAGTATTGCTTGCAGTGTTGCTACTCAGGTTTGAGACATTATTAGTTATGGTTTAATTTTATTTTATGTATTTAGATGCAGATATTGATATTTATTGCATTGTTAGAAAGGAAGGAGTGTTTTAGGAAGGAGTGTTTAATTGAATTAGAAGTATTTACCTGAGGTATTAGGGGGCTGTATTGTACTGTTGGTTGTTATATAATATATCTGTTTTATAAGGGTGGAAAAATGAGGAAAAAAGCAGCAACATTGTGCTTTCCCAGACCATGCAGAGTAAATTGTATTCACATTACAGCTGGAGTTTCAAGGAGAGGTGATATGAGTAGTACACTTTCCCGCAGGCAGTAACCTGTAATATGGGCAACACCTCATAAATAAATTTGGCGTTTATGAGACAGAGGATATAGTTCTCCAATTGGAAACTGCTGCTATGCTTTGCATATCCTGCTTCCTTCATTACAGCTTGGCGAGCCCATTCCCTTTCCTGTATCTTAGTCCTTTGTGTCGATATATGTGTTTGGGTTTCTGCTGGTGGTTCCACGTTCTGCATGCTTCCCTCAAAGCGGAGCAATGCGCTGTCCCATGAATGACCAACATTATGGGCAAGGCTCCCACAGTCTGTGCTCCTGAGAAACTGGTTCCTTCTGTTGGTGATAAATCATGTGTTGATGTTCTTGTTCTGAATTGTTCTTCATGTTGTAAACTTGGGTTGAAATGTCCTCCCATAAGAGTTAGCTTTTCATATTGGGCTGGAAACTCTTCATCTTTGTGTAACAGTTTGTTTTATTATAACCAATGGCTTTTAATTGTACCTCCCATAATGAAGAGCTGACTTAATACTCTGTGCTAATCTTGTTATGACTTATAAAAGGTAAGTAGTTTCTCTAACCGTTCCTAAAGATCAAGGTAAAGTGTTAAAGGATTTTTATTTTAGTGTTCTTTTCTCTTTATTTTTCACGTTAATTTTTCACTTACAGCATGAGCTTTTCTTTGTGTCTTTTTCTGTTTTTCTTGTAAAGATTTTTTTTTGTGCACACTATTATTTGCAGAAAAACATATCAAGGAGATTTAAATACATCCAACTTATTACAGTCAGTGATTTCATTTCTCAGACCAATCATGACTGATAGAGGGAAATTGTCAGCGGATCTCTCAATTTTACCATTCCCTTAGTTCTTTTTTTTTTTAATACTTTATTTCACAATCTCTTTAATGCTTCAGCCTATGGGAGAAAGCGTACTTGGCATTTCAGCACAATTAAATTGTATCTTAAAAAACATAAAATCCAGTTTCCTTAAGAAACAGTAATCTGAATTGAATGTTTTGAGTTTGATTACATTCTGCCTGGACTACACAGGGAAATGGTACTGAACGATAGCCCACTGTATCTGTTGCCAAGATACACCGTGAGCCAACAAGCTCTGGACCTGAGCAGTGAATAAAGAAACTCTCCCTTCCCCAGGAAAGGAGAGACAGCCACAGGTTATTGTTTCTGAAACAACCCGCGAGCAAGAGGAATTACAATAATCCTAGTGATCGTTTGTCCCAGTCAGTCCTGGTACTGTATGTGGTATAATACGGAATCTTTACTTTGCAGTAGCTGTGAAAGGAATGCAGGCTTTTTGTAAATGTCAAAAAATAGCAAAATTTACAAATCATGAAATATGATAAAATGCACCTACAGCACATGACTCCATTTCTACGAAGCTCTATTACAGCTAAAACTGTATGTGTTAGAAAACTAGTGGGTTTCATTTGAAATCATATTTTAATGCAGTTTTGTTTCAAAATAGCATTTAGGATATAAATATACAATTCATATTAAATGAATTGAAGTATTATTTGATAATTAATGCTGATATCAGTTATGTTAAATCCTGGTTTGTATTCTGCAGCTGTGGGCATAGTTTGGGAAACAGCCAAGTCTAGCTGCTCAAGCCTTTTATTTCAATCTCATGGATTCCTCTTCCACAGCTGCTTTTAAAAACTGTGGCAAGCAAATTATTTCCCATACTGCATATGTTGCCCTTCAGGTGAGTGATAAACTGCAAACCTTAGGCTGGTTGTAAGAAGCCAAAAAGCAAAATTAACTTTGTCACTAAAGTCCTCTGTGTGCACAGAATTAAAAAAATGACCTGGGCGAGGCTGTGTGTGAAGCCAGCTGTCTTTTGTTTCCATTGCCATTTGGACATTGTAAGAGCAAAACGTTGTCAGCACGTTTTTTTATATTAGAAGATTTGATCTGCAAATCTCAGCTGCTCTGTTCATTATAAATCTCTTGTTTTTGTCCATACACTAGCTGCACTATAGGTTGGAAGGGCTTAAAGATGAACTCAGGAGGAATAGAGGCTACAACTCGAGAGTAACTATTACTGCTCAAAGGAGCTATTTTCCATTCGCAAACATTGCTTTGCGCTATGGGTTTGGGCTCCTTCTGTTCCTCCACTTTGTTGAAGACTCTCTCTTGACTTCCATTTTACTTCTTCAGCACTGTCTTTGTCTGCTAACATTTTTCCTCTTTCTCTAGTAGCTTTTCTCTGTGTCCTTTGGATTGCTTATTTTACTTAGTTTGTTTTAGTAGATTGTTTCTGAATGTTTGTGTTTTGTATTTTTTGTTTTTGCCTTTTTTTTTTCCTTTAGGACTATGTTATCTCACTGAGTTTCATTCCACAGTTTGCTAAATTGCTTGGTTATTTTGCAGCAGGCCCATTCCTCGTTTTCTCTTTTCATACGGTTTTCAGTGAGAAATAAGAGAGCCTCTTCCATTTTAAACAGAAGTCTACACACGTAGGCCCATGTCTCCTTTTGCATTCACTGTCTTTTGGCTTGCCACATGCCATCTTGCTTTTCTCCTTCTCTCTGTCTCTCTTTCTCACTGAGCCCCTCTCTCTTTTGTGCCTCCCTCCATATCATTAAACCATCTTTTGGTCCAGAATTGTCCTTTGGTGAATTATAGATAAATATTTTCTTCTTCCAAAGAGAGTTTATGTCATTCCTCTAAAAATGAAAAAAAAAAAAAAAAAAACAACTCTGGGCCAAATTTGGGCATCATTAATATCTCATTGGAAGTTTTATTGTATGGTATTTTTGGTGGGAAGGGGGAGGTGGATTTTTTTGTTTTTTGGGGTTTTTTTTAAACAACATTCTTTTCAGGGAAGGACACCATAACTCACTCTAAGTTGCAACATTACTTTCCATGAATTATTCCATTACTATAAATAGACTGTGTTACGCTATAGAATCCTATTTTTTATGTGAATATACATTTGGGGCAAGCTGCTGTGGAATGGAAGAAAGAGGTTTAGAAATTGGTTCGTTTCAGACTTCAGGGACTGCTCTTCTACAAAGGTGGCCTTTGAGGGATAGACTGTGTATCATAACTGTCAGATCATACATATTTACTTTCCATGCATTTGTTCTGTAACTACAAATCCAAGCTGAATTCTGAAAGATAATTCCTTCTCTTTCTCAGCAGAGACAAATGTTCTCTGCAAGGGAAATTACACCCTCTGTGTCACCTGTGCTATTCCACTTCTTTAGCTGCATCTACATAATTTTATTGTATTAGTCATCTCACTGAAATATAGCAATGTAACTGTGAATGATGTACAAAAGAGGAGGACTCAGTTCATCCTCTCTTAGGGGGTTGTCTTCCAGAGAAGTTTCCTTTAGCTGGTGACGGCAATTTCAGCCACAAGAAAAAGCTTTTTGCTGTAGTGTGACCAGTTCAATCAGGTGACATGTCCTAAAACAGACTTCTTTTCAGGTTAGTGCATCTACTAGCTTGCAACTTCACTGTCCTGTGCAATGTGGTGTCATTCCAAACTTGAGAAGAATTAACAAGAAACGGTGCTTCAATAAAGATGCAGCTTAAACTTGTTTTGTCCACAAGCCTGATAACCTCCAAAACCATTTTTTTTTAATATATATACTAAAGGGACAGAACTCTAAAAGCAAGTGCTAACTAGAATATTAGACGAAAGAGAGTCCTCTGCTGGAGTGAAACTAATAAATCTGGAATAGCACAGGGGTAGCCAAGCACCTAGGAAGAGGATTCGTTGAAAAGGCAGTTGCCATTCTGACGTGGTTACTTTCTAAAGTAAAAGCGCACTATAAAATTAATGCCAAACCTTGCATTTCTTTTAGCCAAACTGAAACAATAGAGTAAATTTACCTGGCTTTAGCCAGGAGCTGTTTATACAACTGTGAGCTGTTTATAGAGTTATGAAGTAGGATTATTAAATATCTTAAGAAGCAATGTAATCTATATTTAATATATTTTGAATATGTTTAAATTCTTTCTATAATACCTGAAAATTTCAGCAACAGAGTTTTAAAGCACGTCATGAAAAGACAATTATATTAGTATTTTGTCTATAAACTTAGGTTCAGAGTTATGGTAATAGTAATTATATGAGCAAATATGAAGCTTTTATATAAAACTGGAGTTTAACAAATAATTTGAAACAGTGTGTTCTTTGATTTTACTCTTATTACCCTGTCCTTAGGCCATCTTGTTTATTGTTAGGAGATTTTTAAATTGTTTATTCTGGACTCTGACCATCAGCTATTACTCTTCTGCATAAATATTTTAATCTTGTGTAGAGTATGCAAGAATGATGCTGAAAATATGTGAAGCCTCTGTCTTAGATCCCAGGAGCTTGCCCATTATATCTCTGTATTTTGCTTGCTTGTTAACTTCAGTAGCTCACAAGCTCTGTTCTCTCTCTGCAGGTCCAGTCCAGGTGCAGCAGCAAGGAGAATATCCTCAGAGCAAGTGAGTGCTGAAACTTTCTGGCTTTACTGTGATTAAAAATAAATAAATAAATAAATAACAAGACTGCTATTGTAGAGAGAAAAGAAGGCAGCAAATTATAATTAAGTGAGAGGGGGAGGAGAGGGCTGCGATGCAAGTGGGTTTGCGGAAGAAATTTAAGAACTTGAGACAGTGAAATTCACTCCAAAGAGGAAATATGTGAACACTACAAGATACTTATATTTATATTAATTGATGGTTACCTTTTAATTTCTCTTTCCAAGTTGTTCTAATGACACAAAGGCCCATGTTGGGGTGTTGGTGTGTTGATTTAAATGGTAGCGTGTGTGCAAATCTTGGCCACACTGAAAGATAATGAAAATGGAAATTGTCAGGTTGAATATATATGGTTTTTATTTTCAAACTTAAGCATGCAGGATGTTATGAAATCAAACCAAGAACTGTAAAGGTTAAAATTTGAGGTTCAATCTACATTATTTGATCCACGTATGTTTTATAATTTGCTAAATCCCTTTCAGTTTTATCTGAATGTTTTGTAGTCTAAAAATTGTTCTGCCATTGATATATAATAACCTGCATAGCAAGTTATTTTGGTGATCAGACAGACGGCTGTCTTGAATTTTCCACCTTGTACCATCAATTGACTTTAATGCTGAAGGATTGTTTGGTCATATAGAATGCTGTGTCATGTAAAGAGCAATTTTTAGAGCCATCTGACATTTGTGAAATATAGTTGGTAAGGTCTCAAGAGTTGTTTAATGTATAGTTACTATATAGTAACTATAGTCACTATAAGTTTAGCTTATGGCAAAAAAATGTATCTCTTCATAGTTCAGAATTAAAAAATAACATTTTTTTCTTTTTGTCTCCATGTCTATTTGAATAGATGATACAGCTAAAAGCAGATTTAGCATTTGTTTCTAAGAAGAAATAGCGATACAGAAGGATTAGGAGTTACATGAGCTTCCTTCTTTCTTCCTGTGGGAATTTACATTATTCATTCTAGTGCAAAAACTCCATTTTTGACTATGTATTTTCTTGGCTTGGCTTGCAGAAATAATAGGTGTCACTTTTGATGTTGGAACAGTGTTGTCAGGGATCCGTAAATTTTACCTATTTGCAAACAGAGTGCGTTGAAGAAGGGATTTCCTACTAGATTTTAACGGAAACCTTGAACACTTGCTCAGAGCTACAGCTTGGGAGGTAGTCCTTTGGGCACTGTTCAGAGATGGGCCTCTGAATGATTCTTTAGCATTTTAAGAGTTAAAACAGGGCAAATGTTAATTTTTGAACTGGCTAACAAAGAATTTCAGAAAGCAAGGAAAAACAAAAATCTTTTCCAGAATTGCTGAGAAAGACTGTATTGCTAGTAAAGAATCTATAGAGACAAAATTCTTTCTAAAAATAAACATAGTTTATGTAGTTAAATCTATATAGCTATATAGGATGACTTTAAAAAAGCATTGCTTATAAAGGATTATATAGCACCATAAACCATGTTTTACTATGGTTTACTAGTAGACACTAGAGAGGAACGATATGGTGGAGGAGTTTCAAATCAGTTTTGCTTTGCATGTTACCAGAACAACTAGTATCACCATTCTCTTTGAAAAGTTATTAATCTATACATCTCAGGATGGTAGAACATAGAAGAAACTCCCTTGATTTTCTCATTCCAAGATCTGAAGGGATGAAGAAAAATCATCTTTCTACCTTGTAACCTGGTAATGTTTGGAGTGTCAGGAGAGCCTACACTTGGGGAGGACACCGAAGAACCATTTCCCTGAGTATAATCACATTTGAAACATATTGCAACTTCCTTTGGTGGCATGTGCTACTTTTAAATTACATACACTACATAAAATCATGCAGGAAGACATCTGCCAGGTATCTACAAGTACGAACAGGAACTACTTTGAAAATCCCACTCAGAGGACCACACCTTGCTTTTCTTTCCAGGGAGAAATCACATACTGCATCTTGACTTTGAGTAAGGGTTAACAGGGAAAAGTAGGAATGTATATGGGCATCCTTGGTAGAGATGCTCATTACTCTGCAGTAATTAATGTCATTATTCTGGATCTTTCTTCAAAGCATTTAATCATGTGGCGTTTCAGCAGCTGGAAACAATTATAGACAATTTCTAGTGTTACATAACATCATGATAACGAAAAGTCAATTTATGTCAATATATGCAGCCAACTCTTGCAGCTCAACACACTGGGTTTTGAAATCCTGGCTATATTTTTGCTGAAAACTAGCTTCAACTCAGATGAGCTATAAATATTCCCAAGAGTTTATCATTTAGACTGAAGGTGTATTGCAGGCTTTTAAAAAGCCAGTGTGCATCAGCAAGAGTTCAAGACGTTATGCTGGTAAAGATGTACATAAATGTCCTTTACTGTTTTTAACTATGCACTTCCCTTCTTATTGCTCAAGTTTAAAGATTCTTATTTAGTGACACAACAGCCAGAACTAATGGCTGTAGCATAAATGTTGTTTGCTGCCTCACGCTTCCACCAGCTTTCCCTGCTCTACCATGTTTCTTTCTAGTGTCTTCCTTCCTCTTTCTAAGCTTTCTTTTTAAGACAAAAAAAAATTATTTTATACAACTAGGAAAAAAACTTTTAGCATGTGTTGTATGGAGTCTACTGCAGTTATTACATTGCCTCTAGGCAGGGTGTCTCTCAGTGACATGCATGCACAGAAAAGTCAGGGAAATTCGACAGCATCCTTGTCCTTGTGAAGGTGCTAGCATAATACAGTTATAATAATGACAGACACATATTAGCTTGCGAATAATGTTTCTGTTGCTAAATCCAGAAAAATATTTTTTCCACTAGATGGATGCTGAGTTTAAACTGCCTAGAGCCAAATGAAATAAAGCATTTTCAATAATTTAGGATGTAAGATGGCTGTGAGAGTTGCAGACAGCCTTAGTATTGCCAAGAAACTCTCCTGGGAATGTCTCATGCCTGTAGCCAGGCATTAGATCTTACAATGCTTTAGTTTGTTGCCTGTGTAGTTTGGGAAGGTGCACCTGAGTGCTCTTACTATTTTTTAGAGATATTTTATTTAGACTTCTTACTACATTTGACACTGCACGAAAGCAGTTTGTATCAAGGTCCCTATTGCACTCTTGATAATCAAAGTTCTGTGAGCTTCATTTTCATTTTATACCTTATTCTGTTTTCTTACAGCCACACTGTGCATGCTTCTTGTATGCATGGGTGTTGAGATAGGACTTTTCCTGCCAGTGCAGGCAGCTGGAATTCTTGTCAAGGATCTCATGTTGTATTTTTAGAACATCATCCACTTTGGCTTTCGTATGCATATACATCCAATGCATTCTTGATCCTGGCAAATCCGTTAAAGATATTTATGTAAATACAATTTTCCTAACCTTTTGGTTTGTATGCATTATCATTTATGTGTTATCGCATGAGTCCTCTCTTTTCCGTTGCTTCTCTTCACATTCAAAGTCCTTCAGAGTTTGTTATCCCCAGAGTTACTCACACTCATAGAATATCAGGAAATCAAGCATGTAGCCAGTCATAGTTTTCAATGGCTTGATTTTCAAACAACTTTTTTTCAAATTGTCACCCTTTTTTTTTTTTTTTAACTTGGAAAAAGTAAACTTCCATTAATCTGTCTTACTATTGTCGTTCAAATTACGATGTAAACATTACTTTGCTGTGGTGGCTACAAAATCCTGACAATGACTAGGCCGCCCATTAGCTAGAAGCCCTCTCCATCATTGCGCTGGCTGTCCCATGATCTTGTTGTGCTCCCTTCTACCCTGCCTTCAAAATTATTGACTGGAACATTATCAACAACTACTTCAAGATACCAGCTTTTATATGCTGGCAATGCTGATGTCTTCTCTGTTTATTTTTCACCATCTGTATCTGATACTCATCTTATTGAGGCTTAGTCATAGCTAGGAAAGAAGTGTGGTTTGTTTTTAAGGTGGGGTATGCAGACATAGTTCAGAAACTTTTATGTATTGTTAGAATCAAAGCTATGGCATATTACAGTTCTCTCCAAGGACCTTATTGTAGCTTTTGAATGGGAGAGGGATTGAAGGAATACTTAACTCAGTGGAACTCATTATGTCTAGGGTCTGAATGTCAAGTGTAGCTACTCATCAGAAGGCTATAGAAGCCATCAAGGAAGGACAGAATGAGTGAATGAATTGTCCTGAGCACCAGGTAGATCGTAGAAGTGAGTCAGTCTCAGGTGATGAGCCACAGTGTCAAGTGCTGCATTGCCAGTGAAGGGTTTCTGTTTCTGATTAACTGATTCTTTTATTCTCATCGAGACTTCTGTCATCTTTTTCAGAACAAGTAAGAATATGAACTTTTGTGAACTTTTTCAATTATCAATTGTATTTTAAGTCTCCCTTTTGATTCTAACTGAATACCATACCATCCTACTTTCTGACATAAATACTTAGTAGCAATAAGTAGCTTGAATTAATTTATCTGTAAAGGCCAGGTGCATTTCAGTAAAGTGGTTTAAATGAACATTGCTCTGTGTGTCAACACACTATAAACTGGTCTACAAACTATCTCACTTTGCAGGTCACAGTGCTGTTGACATTACCAAGGTAGCAAGAAGACACCGCATGTCTCCCTTCCCTTTGACATCTATGGACAAGGCCTTCATCACAGTTCTGGAGATGACCCCGGTGCTTGGAACAGAAATCATCAATTACAGAGGTACTTTTACATATAGCTGGATTCTTTGTATGAATCTCACAGCTCGCTTCAGCCCTTGGTCTTCTAATAATTTTTGTGAAATGTTTGAGATGTACATAAATGCATCTGCTCATAGGCTGGGGAATATGCAACAAGGCAAAAACTTAAAAAGCAGAGTTTGCCTTCAGTACTTGATTTAACGTTGGACATGTATAGATGCTGCCTGGCTCCATTTTGTGTTGTAAACAATCACTCAGTTCTCTCACTGTGGGAGATTCTTACTACCCCTCTTTCAATCTGAAATTAATGCTCTAATCAAAGTTATTATTGATTATAGATCACTTTGCTCCATGTCTGTGGAGTGGAATAGATGACTCAAGAACATTTCTCAAAAGTTTTAATGCCTTGCACATTGAAGCTTTTGGTCCTGTTATTCCTTGGATCCTTGTTTCTTTCTGATTTTTTTCTGAGTTTCTTGTAGAAGATTGCTTGCATAGTGAGTAATGCAAGTAAGGAATATTGGTCTCATAGTGTAACACTGCTGCCATGCAACACCATGCTATTTATTGCTGCAAATATACAGTTTGAAATCTGCTGCCTTTCTTAATATTAAGAGCATACATTCATCACTTGCAGTCCAGGAATATTGCTTTTTTAATTTTTTGTCTTGAATTCTATTCATGTTTTTTGTGTGAAAAAGGCTTTGTTGTGAGCTTAAGCCTGAGAACTGGGCAATTTTTCCAATCTAGTCCAAGAGCCATGTAACTTCTGCAGAAGTTGAATGTGTTTCTGTGCTCTTTATTAATTGTGAACTAGGTGGCCATTTTGATAGCATTGCTTTTTCATATCACGTTGACGTGCTATCAGGACAAAACTTATGAAATAGAAGTAAACCCTTGGCCTCTAGTACAACTCCTGTACTCACTACTTAATTCCCATACCAGTACCCTGAGAGATCAAAATTCTTTACAGAACTTAACCAGTTTCACCAACTGAGCTCAAGAAAAGGTAATACCCACATCTGAAAATAGAATTTCATGCAATTCTCCCTTTCAAGTTCAAATCAAAAACCTAGAAGCATAGGAAGGAGACACTAAAACATTTAAGAACATCTTTTTTGAATTACATTTAATCAAAAAGGTTAAATTGTATGCTTTTAAAATAATCGTTCAAAAAAGAGAGTAAATGTTTCAGATTGTTCTTTAATTGCTGACTTGCTTCACTTTAAATGCCTAAGGCTTCAGCAAGTAAGTCTCTTACTTTTGTTTTCCCTTATTGAAATTCACTCCAGCTACTGGCTGGCCATTTGATCACTTTGAATATTACATGGCAGAATGCCAGGAACATACTGTCCAACTTTGCTGTAATTGGTGTGATTTTGCATGCAGACAGGAAGTAAAATGAAGACACAACATGCCTGCTAAAATTAGAAACTGGCTTTTCTCTGCTATAATTAAAATGTCTGTGTCTTTTCAGTGCAAGCATTCAAGCTTTCAGTGAGCTTTCTGATAACGTGTCTTCTGTCTTATCACATGGCAGTGTCAATAGCCGTCACAAAGATGTTTTTCTACTTGCTTTCCTTAAAGGTTTTACCAGCATTTTCATGGTATTACCTATGACAAAATACAGCATAAATATTTGCTCCAAGTTAAAATTTGATACATTTGGATGCAAGTACATTGATGTTATAGTTATTATAATTAATTACTAGCTAAATTATTGTACTAATCAGTAAAGCATAGTTTCCCTTAGAGTTTCACTTAAGTGAAGCTGAAAATTTTCAAATCCACCAGGTGCTGTTTTTAACCAAACTTGTACACTTAGTGTGCACAGCTGAGTCTTCTGCCAGTGTATCTGTTAGTATATCCACAATCACTTATATTTTCCTGTCTATCTGTAAAACAAAAACCATACCTAATGTCTTTTCTGGCATGTCTAAAAGTTCATAATCTATAAAATATATATCCACACAAATTCTCCTAACAATATTACCAATGCATACCTTCATTCCTTCATCGGGATGTGACATCTTTCTGTGCCACGATGCACCTTAAAAGTGGTGGCATCAATCTTCCAATGAGCTTCCCGTTTTCTCCTTAGACATATTGGAATCAAGCTGCTCTCAGTAGCTCTGGCCTATGTGCCCTTTCCTAGTCCATCTAGTCAGGTACATAATAAATGTTCTTCCTCACCGTCCCACCACCTGGATGGATAAGGTACAAATTTCCACTTTGTTTCACATCATAAGAAGACAAAAGGAAGCTCTTGCTGGCACCATTAATGTAGGCCAGAAGGTGAAGTTCCTCAGGTCAGCCTCTACAGGGAGGCAGAGCCAAGTTGCAGCTCATTGTTACAGATGCTAAGAGAACGGATAGAATATGTTTGAAACGGCTGTTAAAAATATTTCAAATGTTTACGGTGTGAATTTCCATAAATAATGCTGACACGTATGTTCACTACCTCTCCACTGAACAAGATTGTTGTCATCACTTAGGCAAAGCTAATCTATTGCAAAACTTCGGTGTTAATTTATGGAGTCATGTCCATCACTGCAGTCTTCTGGGCTCAGTCCATCAACTTTCATCTTTTCACAGAGAATTCAGTTTTTGAATGTTATTTTACAAAATTCTTCTTAAAAATCAAAACTTTTTTTAAAGTTTAAAAGTACAAAATAAGTGTTCCTGTATTTTTGAGAGGTTTCAGGATATGGAAATACTGTTCTGTCTGACACTACTACCTCTGAGTTTAGATACTTGGCATTCTATTTCACTGCAACCAGAAACACAAAGTCATTGATCCAATCTTTCATCTGTACTTTCAGATTCCAGTCCTTGTTTGGTTTAAATACTGATTCTGACAAACATCAAAAACCTGAGCAACCTATTCTTGAGATGTATGAGTACATGATGTATTTCATCTGTCAGATTGCGTTGCTGTCATTTTCCTCCTTCTCACTAGCTTTACTGACATGAAGCTTTTCTTTCTTTCCCTTTATAGATGGAATGGGCAGAGTCCTTGCTCAAGATGTGTATGCAAAAGATAATCTACCACCATTTCCCGCATCAGTAAAGGATGGCTATGCTGTCAGAGGTAAGCACACTTTGTAGACATGCAGTGTCTGTAAAACCATAAAACCACTTTCTAGCATATTATTAGTTCACTTCAATATTCCATGTGCCAGAAGTACTTGTATTTTGCATCCAGTTGCTAATATTTTGCCTCAGATTTGATTCACATCATTGCTAAAGTGACTGTTATGTAGAACTCAACTGTCCTGAAGGAAGACAGCAAAGTTTAATTCAGATCTTTTAAATGGATATGTGTGTGCTGTGCACATCCAAGTGTGCTCCTAGACATGCACCTGAGCTGCAACGGCATTTCATAGAAAGAGAAAGAATTCAGAAGACTAACATGAGAATATCTGCCTCTGAGTGACAGTTTCTTCTCTGTTGTTAATGTGATCAAAAATTTCCTACATCTGCTATTTGGTTGAGCTGTCACAGTTCCAGCTTCCTATTTATGAATTATTTTATGATTGTATTAGACCATTTTTGAAAATATATACGAGACTGTACTCTTATGAAGGCATCTCAAAAGAAAAACTCATACTTTAAAATATTTCAGTAACGTGGCTATAATGAGCAAGCAGTGAGCTGTTTCCTGGGAGACTTGAATCCATCTTCTGTTTTGCCACTAGATGCTGCATGAGTTTGAGTAAGATGCTTCCCTATTCATCCATTTTTCCATTTGTAGAATAGGATTAATGATATTTACTGCAGATACCTATGGAGGAAAAGCAATATATAAGAATAAACATTATTACTACTAGTCATGTCATTATGGTAGAAGTTGAATCATTGTAACACAGTTCTGAAATCTGGAGCATGATAGCCAGTTTTCTCTTAGGGACATTAAAGTGTCATTTTTGTTACTGGCAGTCGAAACAATGGAAGGCAACTTGCCATCAAACAGACTGTCTGCTAGCTCAGGCAATGGAAATAGACCAATAGGCTCACTTGGACTTGATGTAAAAATAAAATCCCACATCTGCAAGATGGGGATGACTGCAGCTGTCCATTATCTGTGCGTGTGAGAGAAAGGCACACTAAAATACCTAGTAACAGCAGCAAGGGAGTGCAGACCTAGCCAGAAGAATATGTGCAATATAATGCTGAGATGAGCTGGGGAGCTTTGAATAGAAAGCTGGCTGAAAAGGGCTTTGGGGACAGGAGACTGGTCTCTTACAATGTGATTCCTGCAGAGGAAATCAAAAGTGCAGTCTTAGTAAAGATGCAGCATTACTTCAGAATAGTAATGAACTCTATCATCAACCTCTTACCCACCCAGAATCAACCCACAAGACCCTTATTTGGATTCAAACAGACAAATTCAAACAAGAACGTTGTTATTGTTCATTATTCTCTGAACAATTTTTGTTAAAAGGTACTATAGAAGACGTAATTTTCAAAATACTAAACACAACTGAAAAAAACCTTAGAAATGTTGTCAAAAATTCTGTAATCTTTAGTGTGGTGTCCAAGTCAGTTCAACTGACACTGAAGAACTGAATCCTAGATTCTGGTTCTCCTGTTCTTAGTTTTCTTACTACGTCATTTATTTTGATTCAGCCTAATTATCATCTTTACCATTTGTACTGTCACGTTACAGCTGCTGATGGCCCAGGGGATCGTTTCATCATAGGGGAATCCCAGGCCGGTGAGCAGGTGAGTGCAATCTCTTTTTGCTTTTTAAATGTGCTTTTTGTTGTAAGAATTTGCTTTTTATTTTTACAAGCATTTCTTGCGCTCCAAAACCCTATTATTCTTGAAGGTGGCTTGAAGTAGGGCACAGCTGTATCTAGCCTCCTTCTGTGTACCTTGGGATGTGATTTCAAAAAGTGAGGTAGTGAGGTTGCATAAGGAACTATCTAGAAAATCCCCAAATACTTCAAAGCTGATATGTCCTATTGGTTTGCATACAGTAGTGGTCTGCCCTAGCACGGTGTCAGAGGACACAAGGTTTCCAGTAGCATCACAACTTATATGGAAAAAAGCAAGAATTAACCACTTTTTGCTGATGGATTTAAAAAGGGGTATCGGCCTAGCCAGTGTTTGCACAAACTGCTTGGATATTTCACACTGATACCTGCAAACCAGCATGTGGGAATTCTGTGAGTCTTCAAAGATAGTTAATGATTAGAGGTCTTGAGAAAGCCTGGCATCAGTTTGCAGAGAATTTTGAGCTGCCTTTTCCTGCTTAGTATTGCTCTTTTTCTGTTCCTTAAATCAACCGTGTGTTTGCGTACCCTGACAGATAGGTGGACTGAGGTAGAGATGCATCCACGACCGATTTCTGCTATATGAAACACTTTCTTCTGACTTGCTGTCAAACTCAAGTATACATTTGGTAAAATTCCTGCACTAATTCAGGGGTGACAGAAAAAAATCTGTTACCTCCAATCAGTTCATATTATTCTACCAACTGAATATACTAGCAACTGAATTATACCTGCTACCTCCTGTTTAGGAGAGCATGAGTTAATCCAGAATGTTTAGATATTTCAAATCCCAGTTTGTAATTCTATCCAAAAGATCTTGTATGCAAAATCATGCACAAATGGGATAAGTCGAAGGCAAAAGAACAGATTGATCCATTTTAGTAAGGATTGTATAGGGTGACCACTTTGACTGCTAACCACAAAAACATCAAGTGAAACAGTTGCATGTCAATAGTTGCTTTAGGTTTTTAGAAGTATTACCAGTAGCAGTGTTGTTCCATTTTTTGTTTTGGTTTTGTTTTTAAACTGGAATTGAACTACCTGTAAAACTATAAAGGACATTTTATTTGACTGATCACAGTAGCCAATGAGAAACATTAAATAATTTTTGCTCTAGCTACCATCCACTTTCATGAATTATACTTTGGTGGCATAGATATCTTCTCAATATTGATGTTTTTGTGAATTCAGATAAATGAATTTAATATCCAAAATATGTAAAATTATTTCCAATACTTTAAAATTTAAAATTAATCAATTCAGCATTATTTTAACATACCTTGGATTCTCTAGTCTTTTGGGCTATATTTTCAAACATTAGTCCAGAATCCAGATGATGGTCCACAGGTCTGAGGGTCCTGATCAGTTAGCAGCTTTTTAGAAATGATGGAAGTGCAAATGGGAGATCTCTTTTCTCCTAGAGAACTCTAGAGCTCTCAAATGTATCTACATGGACAGAGTACTGGGAATGGGAAACCTCTCTGACAAGGAACAGAAACTGGGGGGACAGAGTGAGAAGAATTAGCTTTATGCTTCTGGAAATATGAGTGGCAAGTATGAAAAATTAGTCTGTCAACCTCTGCATAAGTGATCACAGGTTCTTTCTTAGGCCAACGCATCTTTGTGTTCCATCTCCTGCCCAAGAAATGATTTATAGCTCTAGAGGTCTCCTCAGTCTCATTTCTCCCTTCAGTCACTCTCAGCAGCAACATACTGCTTTTCACATTACAGACCAATTAACTGAATGATTCGCAGCAGGGAGCTGAAGATAGGTTTAGATTTGATTCATCCTATAGCAAAAAAGGATCTTATGTAACTACCACTAAGAGAGAAACAAAATGGGACTGAGAATTACAAGAAGACCATATAACCAAGTTGGAAATTTCTGTATCAATTTTTAAAATACATATTATTTTCTGATTTCTATTTCCAGATCATTGTGTTTGTGTTCACAGCCACTTTTACTGTGCATTGAAGAAAACTTTCAGACACTGCTTGGAGAGGTTGGGGCATATCTAAGAGCACTAGTCAAGGGCCATCAACACTGCCTGTCAAAAACTGACTTGTCTGGAGCAATGATTTTCTTCATATGAACTTGCATTAGCTGAGGCTTGGAATTTCCTAAAAGATTTTTTAGAGAGGCTTGTGATTAATCAGCTGTAGTATAGGGTGAATACAGTCACCCCTCTGATACCTTGAGCCATTTTACAGAAAGGAGCTTGCATGTGTCACTGCAAACCATAATCCTGTAGCCTGGTTCATAGGTGAAAGGAAGGATTCCTGAGATGTGGGATATGCTGTCTGGAATATTTCTGCTCTTTATTGATTAACTAGTATAAAATAGATTATCAGTGGTGAAGGCAAAGGATAGAACCCCAAACTGCCATAATACAGGTACATGGGAGATCTTAAAGCCCTTTAAAAAAACTTATGTTAAATAATTGTACATTGATATGCTTTCTGAGAAGCGATTTTTTATTGATCTTGCTAGTCTCTAGCCTAGAAGATAGCAGTCATGCAGATTTATATACAGATCTGATAGAAATCATTTGTTCAGAAAGATGATCTGATCAGTTTATCACAGGACAAAAAGGAAAATATATAAACAACACAACTAAGTCTAAAAACAAAAGATACTATACCATAATTTTGTTTAAATGCTTTACATCATTACCCCTTAAAAAAAAAAAAGACATTTAGTAATAAATTCTAAAAGCACAGACATTTACAGCATATGTTATCACCATAGGCACTGACTTCTGTCAGAGTCCTAGACATCTTATATTCTTTGTAGAATAGAGAGACCTTTTTGGCTCCCGAGACCAAAAAAACCTGCATTCTAAATGGAGAAAATTTTAATGCCGTACGTCTATTCTTTAAACTTGCTGCTAGGGGACATCGTGTTGTTTGTCATGTTCTGCTATTTTTCTGTGCTTTGTACTGTGTCTGCTGAAACTCTGGCATGTATGGTGACGTTACATGTAGGGCATTGCATATTTTAGGCTTTGTTAAACAGATCCTCGCAAAGATAGCTGTGATGAACTTTGGTTTATGCTGTTGAGCTGTTGCATAAAACATGGAAATCTGCTTAAAAATGAAGCAAATAGTTATGTTACCTTACGTACAATCTTCTCTCTTTTTTTAGTATGCAATGTAGTGCTAGTGAAATAGAACAGAAACCCAGCCAGACCAAAACAAAGTTCATCCCTGGGGAACAGTATATGCTACGTGAAAAGTATTTATGTACAGAGATGCAGCACAAAATTTTTGCTCATGTAAGCATCTCCAGAGTCCCCAGCTCAGTTTCCTGACAGTTCTTTTTCTGAGCCAAGCAGAGTGTCAGTGTATTCCTCCTTCTGAAAGCTGTTCTTGTGATATGAATCTACTTAACGGGGAAAATATTAAGCCATGTGACCTAACAAGCAATTGCCCAAGCCTAATCATACCTAATTACAGCCTAATTGCAACTACAAATATCACTGGTAGTACATCAAGAGTCATGGCACACAGAAGAATTTAATCTTTCAAATTATCTCTGCAATGTTCAAATGACTGGAGATTTTTTTTAATTAAAGTAAATTCATTTTTGTTTGTTTTTTTATTATTTTTCAGCCAACTCAGACTGTGATGCCTGGTCAGGTAATGCGAGTTACAACAGGTGCTCCAATTCCATGTGGTGCTGATGCAGTGGTGCAAGTGGAGGATACGGAACTTATCAGGGAATCAGATGATGTAAGTGACTCATGAAGACTCGAAGTGCTTTTGTGTGCAACAGCATGTGGCTCATGGTACAACCCCATCAGTATGGAAAATATTTTCCTACAGAAATGGTGATCTCAGAAGTTTAAGGGTGTTCACATCTACCCCTAGTTTCAATACTACCCACTGCTCAGCCTGACGTGACTGTACCACAGAACTTCCTGTCCTGACCTTGATTTTCTCATCTCAGTTGTTGAATACCCGCAGGAAACTCTTTGGGGGCACAATGGTGTGGAAAGGGAATGTTTCGTGGGGGTGCATGGTAAGAATCCAATTTGAGAGTATAGCGTATTCACATTTTACAATACGCAGTAGTGACAATCAGACATTTTGTTTGCTTCTTTTCTGCTGAGTTCACATTTAATAGCAGAGCAATTTCTTCATTATGCTTATTGCAGATGGTCCTAAAACTCAGCAAGCTGAGGATCTTCAAAGTTCTCCTAAACTCAGGTTCAAGTAAAAAGGAAACAGATTTTCTTAAATGACTCAGAATGATAGTTAGAAATATTATAGTGGAATACAATAGAATAGAAATATATATTTACATTATAATATAAAATATATATTTTGATACTACTTTTAATTATTTTTGTGTGACCTATGGTCAGACTGACTCCATTGCTCCTAAACGTGATTTTTCCATTTTCAGGTTTTGTTTCAGATTGTCCACTTCATCTTTGGAGAAGTAATATTGGAAAGATCCTTTATGCTTGTAACTCAAAGCAAGGGGATTTCCTAACAACTTATTGCCATAGCAGTTGGGTGGCTGAATGGTGACACACTGTTGTTACAAAGTCTTCCTCTGCACTGCATGTGGAGGATTTGTGAGAATGTATCTTGCATATGTATCTTGTCATAAATATATATATTTAGAATCAGGGCTTTTATTGCATAACAATTGTTTTATTGCGTAACAAGGGAAGTGGGTACCCCCAAAATTCTTTTAAGTCATAACTTTGACCTGTGTGATCCTTAAAACAGAAAAAAATTACTTAATTTAAAACCTCTGAAAACTAGGAAATGGATAAGCTGCATATTCCTCCAAAATATAGCCTTAACTCTGTTTAATTTGAGCATTTTTTCTAGCATACCTGTAAATCATATTAGCAGTCTACCTTGCAGTTGCTGAGGAATACTACAGAAAAATATATGTAGTACATGTAGTACTGACTGTGTGTGTACATTGTCTTAGTGAAATAACATGTGTTTTTTGTGGGGTTTTTTTGTTTGTTTTTTGATGAAGCACAGGAGCTGCTTATAGACAGCTGTATCCCAAAGAGGCCATTCTAGGCTTTCTAAGCATCGTCCTGTTCAGGCATACATCATAATCTGTTATTCCCTATCGCTTCTCTGAGTGACTCTCTTCCTGTTTTCCACTTTTGGTGTGCATGTTTTCCTCTGCATCTGAGAACAGGTTATTTTGCTATGTGCTTTAAACTCTGAATTTCTTAGCCTCCATCTGCCTTCCACAGCATCCTGCCAAAGTATAGTTAGTTCAGTCTAGTTAGCATGTTATTTTCTTATTCTTTTTAATGCCTGATTGACCACATATTTCAGGAATGTTTTTGTGTTTAGAACTTCTCCGAGATTGGGATTTAGCTGAGATGAACACTCTGACATGTGAAATATGCTCTTCTGAAGGCACAAAGAGTGCCTTTTAAAAGGAGCTCCTTGACCTCTAGTTGTGGTAGCAGTACTTGAATATCATAGCAGGGCTTCCTCGGATGACCCCAGAACTCACAGGTCTGCCAGGTCTGAAAGGACTGGTCAGCAGACAGGATGATTGTCATCAGCTTGATAATGTGATCAATCAGAACAAAAGATAGATACTACATCAAGATCGAGCTTCAATAAGTCAATGCAAATGCTGACTGACAACCATCAGAGTAAACCACTCCACCATAGTTCAAAATATATCAGTACAAAGCAAGAATGCTTCCCAATATACAACAAATGGAAGATGTTATTGCTCCAAAGGCTGCTGTGGTAGGTTTCAGTAGATATGGTTACAATGTAGCTTTGACTGAGGTAATTTCGACTCACTCAAGTATCTGTCAAAATATGGCCGGTGATATTATGCAGGTGGAAATCTGTATGTCCTAGAGGGAAAAAATAATACAGTTTCCTTAATAATTCAGTTTCTGGACTAGAGGAAATGGCTGGAAACTGAAGCACCAAAAGTTCCACATGAACTTAAGGAAACATTTCTTAACAGTGAGGGTGACAGAGCACTGGAACAGGCTGCCCAGAGAGGTTGTGGAGTCTCCTTCTCTGGAGATCCTCAAAACCCGCTTGGACGCAGTCCTGTGCCACGTGCTCTAGGTGACCCTGCGTGTGCAGGGGGTTTGGACTAGATGACCTCTAGAGGTCCCTTCAGTACAAAGCAAGAATGCTTCCCAATATACAACAAATGGAAGATGTTATCAGAATAATGCTGTATCTCCCTGTAAACCCTCCTTCTAACCACCACGATTTATTTGTCATTCCAAAAGCATTCGGGGATATCCACCAATTCCATAAATAACAATCTCTGTATATTTTCTGTTGTCCACAGTCACACATATTCTGTCAGAGTAATGCTCTTTTCAAACTGCCATCTCTGAAATTGTTCAAGTAGATCAGATTGGCTGAGGTTAGGAGAAAGAATCCGTTTGGTATACCAGGTCAACATACAAACGCAGAAAAGATACATAAACACAGGAGTCTCATAAAAGGAAGGTAAAACTATTAATTCAGTGCTGGTCCTTCACTTACAACCTCCTCAAAGAAATCATTCTTACAACCTTTTTCAGGCTTAGCACACACGTATTACAGTCCTGATGCACAAATGTGGAGCACAGTGCTGAGGGCCGAACCACAACGTTGCAGTGCTGTGAGCTGTGTAGACTTCGGAGAAATGAACACTGATAAATCTTGTTTGAATAACCCAGCTGACCTTACCTGCTCTTCTTGTTTCTACAGGGCACTGAAGAACTAGAGGTTCGAATCCTGGTGCAGGCCCGACCAGGCCAAGATATCAGGTCTGTAAACAGCCTACTTTATAAACAATTAAATATATCTGTAAGGAATAGAAAAGTTACTGTTTTTATAGTCATTGTTTGACCAAAAATAGTACTGACGTTTTGACAGTCTGACTAACGAACCTCCTCAGATATTCCTCACCTTGAGTCAGATCAATCAAGGAAAGGTACTTTCAATCTCATTCTGGTTTTCTTTCCTTTTTTTTTCTGTACTATGATTTTTAGACCTATAGGACATGACATTAAGAGAGGTGAATGTGTGCTGGCTAAAGGAACCCACATGGGTCCATCGGAGATTGGCCTCTTAGCAACTGTTGGCGTAACAGAAGTAGAAGTTAACAAGTTTCCAGTGGTCGCAGTCATGTCAACAGGGAACGAGGTAAGAAAAATACTCGTAGAATCAAGGTGTGAATTACTGTTTCTTCTGTAGGATGGGAAAAGTGTTTTGAACAGTGACTTCAACCTTGTTTCCAGGTAGATTGGCCAATTGCAGATGAACTTATGATGACGTGAGCTTTTTTTGATGGTGATCAGCCCATAATCAAGTTACTGTGTTTACTCTTTCACAGGGTTGTTGATCCTTGCTCTCTCATGTCTCACAGATTTTATTTGCCAAAATTTTGATAATGTACCCAAACTTGTGCCAGCTGTTTTTTCCCTGCCAGCATAAGGCAGAACCTGTTGGGGGGTCATTACTGAAATGAACTCAACCTGCCAGTCACTGCTGATAGAGTAATTCCTCTTGAACAGCAGTCCTCTGTAGCTATTCTGCAATTGGGAATTATCTGCAGTTACACTGGCAAATGCTGTGCTGTAGTACTATGTGCCTTCCTGGAATCTTATATGCAGCTTGTCATCAGTGCCAAAAGAACTTCTCTTGAGATATCACACCTGATCATGCCTTTGTGAAGAGATACATCTTAAAATTTGATACTAAAAACCCTAATTGTCAAGTCTAAGATAATCTAATAAAATCTTTTACAGAGAAAACTATCTTGATGTCAGGCAGAGGTTTTTGATAGCACACGTTGAAATCCAGACAATCACCTATTGCTGCAACCGTATACCACCATCTTATTCCTTTTTGTAAACACATGCCTTACTAACATGTCTTAATTAGTTTAAATTCACAGAATCACTTTATATGTGAGAGATGTAAGAATGTCATATTCATTCTGAAGAATAACATTTTCACTTGTGTAAAGACACAGTACTCTGAGGAGACTTGACTGATAATATACGTGGTTTTACAGCTACTGAATCCTGAAGATGACCTCTTACCAGGAAAGATTCGAGACAGTAACCGTTCAACTCTCCTAGCTACAATCCAAGAACACGGCTATCCAACAATCAACTTGGGAATTGTGGGAGATAAGTAAGTACCACATGTTAGTAAAGATGTCACTTTATGTTCATGCAGGGCACTTAATGGCATCTGTGGAACAAAATACCAGAGAAACTGTCATTTGTTTTAAGTGATACAGTGTGGTGACAGAGCATATTTTGGAGAAAGAAAATGCGTTTTTAGAGAATTAAATGCCTTTTTAGAGAATTAAATAAGTCTATTCTAATATTAAGAGGAATCATTTGATAAGATTGTTTTTATTGACTGTTGTTTGTCTAGTTTTGTCTTCTGTTTATTGAAACAACTGCTAATTGCATTATACTGCTTTAGCATTACCACAAACACAGTATCTAATTCCTGTAAGGACCCTCTTCTGTGGGGGTTTCTAAAAGAACAGTGCTTTTTTTTTTTTTTTCCTCTGATCCAATGAAGAGGGAAGGAAAGTTTAGTTTGGAGTTTATTCTGGATATTAAAATTAATTTAAAGTATAAAATTTTGTCAGATTCCAAGTCACCATATTTTGGGAAAGGCCCCATTGTTGGTTGTTGCTGACCATTTCCAGAAATATGCTGAAGTATTTTAAAAAATCACTTTTTTCTCTTCCTTTACTGATCTCTATTTTGATTACTGCAAAGCAGTACCCTGTAATCAGTCTTTCTGTTCATCTGACAGTGATTGCTCCTTGTTTCCCACTGGTAGTAAAGCCACATCTCCTGTTGAGATTCTCTTGGATAAATGATTGAGGTGTTTAGTCTTTTATCCTTTGCAAGACTGTGCAATTCCAGTCATCAGGGGTTTGAGTTTCTCAGCATTAGATTTCTCCTCAAATTACTGAGCCTCAGAGTCTTTGAACTGTCTTTCTTGTTTCTCATTGGGGTACCAGACCATCTGATAGGCTTTGAGGAGTTCACCTTCACCTGTCCGAAAAAGGAATTCATTGTGGCTAGGTAAAAGTAAGGCCGGGCAAGAAAGAAGAAAAAAGGAAAAGACTGTCTTTTAGCACCCATATTTCATGTTGGTTGATAGCCTTAAGTAAACAAGAAAGTGTCAGCACCAAAGTGTCTGTTTGCATATATCAAAGCCTCAGATTTTTGAAGAATTTAGATATTGTTAGATTATAAATAAAGAAGTCTCACAAGAATTACTTGTCAGAAGCAGACTTGGAACTCTTTATCAGTGTTGGTGTCAAAATATTTTCTAAACATTTTAACTCCATCACTCTCATGTCTAAGACTGCTCTCAAACATTTTTCTACATGGAAAAGATACACAGAATCTCACAGGTGATCCTGCCATAAAAAAGGCACCACATCTGCATGATGAGATTATAGGAGTCAAAGTTTTATCCCATGTCCTTCTCAGTAGCCTTGAGTTAAAGTGCTTGGGGTAATGCTTGGGATAAAGGAATGGAGACGCACAGGAAGCCCCAAGGACTCTTCTGTTCAGCAAGAGGATAATCATCTCTGTAACAGGTACAGGTACATGTGAATGCAGACACACACATTTCTCAATATTAAGAAGGACCTCATTTTTTTTTATTTTAGAAAGTGACTCTCATGTGGTGTGTTTTAGGCTAGCATGGAGTGGTCTTGACCAGTAGTTACAGTACAGTATACACCAATACTTATGATCACTAACTAGGGTTTCTAGGAATCATGACAGAATTCCCATGCAGAAGGACATGGTTAGTGCTAGGAACAGCTCATCAGCTCATTTCAAAATCATTCTTTTCTAATGCAGGATCCAATGCAGAAACATCGCTAGCTTGGCAGAAAGGATATGAATTGGCCAGTGGTTTTACAGGATTTGATACAAATTGAATTATGGCTGCGGGAGATACAACTGTATTCAAAGCATTCATATATGAAATGTGGCACAGCAACCACAGTGTGTCTTAACGGAAGGGAACCTTTGTGGATGCTCTCATTGCATTCATGGGCACAGTGTATCTGTGCAGATAAGCTCTCAGAAATGGATAGGAAAAAATTTTAATGCCATATAATTAGATCCAAATTAATTCTTTAACTTTTCTGGCACAAATATATCTTGCAGCATCTTTTTTTACTTGTTGGATGTTTACTGAAAAACAGACTGGAAGTACATGCATCAGTACATGCATGGACAAGTGTTTGCAGCTTTGATTTCAGTTATGAGAGATTGTCTTAGCAAACATGATAGGAGATCTTCTTTAAACTTTTTCATGCTTGAGAAGTTATTTTTGCAGAGGTACTTACTTCAGCTTGTAAATTAGAATTAATCAATCTCCAATTCTAGAGTGATTTTTACACTTTGCAATAAGTTTTAAGAGAATAATTTGGTTCTGTCCCAGACACAGGGATTCTATCTCAACAGGTCTTCTGCCATTCTTCTCACATTCATGTACCCAACTTTGCTATTTACAACCAAAGAAATCTGCGTTTCTGTATTGATTATAAAGGAAATCTGAGTAGGCAAATTAATTTGATGAAAAGTATGATATTATTCCATTACGTAATAATTATTGAGCATATGTTACCCTTACGGATATTTCAGTACATACCCTTCTGACTAAAATGACTGTTTTCATGGAGTACCATGGCATTTGATCCCAGGTCTTACCAGAGACACCTTATGTAGAGCACAGATTTGAAGTTTTAGTTAACATGTTTATAGAAAAGGTAAGCAAACTCTCAGTATCTGTTAAATGGTTTACTTGGGTTAAACCATAGATTATGCATCTTTGTGTGTGCTTGTGTATATGTGCAGTTTTGTTTGTATATGTAATATGTGTGCAGACAGTGAAAAAAGGGAGTTTTTATATGCCTGCAATGCTCATGCATGTAGTAGAAATACTAGCAAAGGATACTTTTTAGAAGCTTCGAAAGCTTGTGATTGTTTATTTGAAGACCTCTCTGTGAAATATTTTTCTCTCCCCCATATTTTACATTTTGGAGATTCTACTATTATCTCTTTTATTTATTTGTTTTGTTTTGTGTATACATTTTACTTTTAATAGATTGTTATCACATTTACTGAGAGTATCACTTCCTCTACAATCTAAAAACTGACTGGTGTTTGAGCAAGTTGTCAATAGGGAGCATAATATAGTGTAGCTACTTCTGTCGTGCATCAAGTTTTTTAAAAAGCATGGAAATTCTGTCAGTCACATATAAAGAGCTAAAGCTAAAGTGTGAAATTCTTTTAGAATCGTATTTGCAAAGACAAAGCCATAGGTAAGTATTCCTGTTTTTCATTTCAATATATGAATCATGCATATGTAAGAAAACAACTTGCCCAGGTGAAACAGATGCACAGTGGCAGCTGCTGCAAATTTAACAATTTCTGAGATTGTCATTGTTTATTTCCATTCTCATAAATTCTACATAGGATTCAATATTCAAAATTAAAAATAGCTACTCCGAAACATACAGAAAAATCCTATTATTTAAATCCCAGAAGTAAGCAATAGAAGAAAACAACAAACCTGGAAAATTCCATAAAGCTAAATTTATAGCTGGCTAAAAGCCGAAATTTTCTCTATTTGTTTTAGCAGATGAAAAACAAGCATACCTCTGAGGCAGAAAGGGTAGATATTTCTAAAGCATAACTCCAAACACAGGAAAACAATACAAAACCTGAAAAAGAAGTCTTCTGCTTTAGTTCTTGCTGTTTTGTCTTGTGTCTTTGTCTGAATCACAGAATCATTTCTTGCTAAAAAAAAATACATTTTTTTAATTGGTCAGTTGAAACTATGTCACTTTTTACTTGTATAGCAAGATCAAGTAAGAAATGCTTCTAGTTTAATTCCCTTTGCTTATGGAGTTGTTTGGTTCTTTGGAAGCCATTGCTTAAAATAAATAGTTACATCTCTGTTCTGAGTTGTAGACCTCTGTTAACTTAGTTATCAGGATATCTTTGTGGATTTCATTTGTGTGGTTCTTTATATCCATTGTTTACCAAAGCTGTGAAATTTAGCCCTGGCAAAACGTGCTATAAAAGTGGGCACCTGTTTTAGAAAACCATTTTTAGCTATTTTCCTCCTATTGGAGGCTCTTCTATTAAGCTTGCTAATGAGTTTTGATTGTATGATGAATTCAGTTCCCTTCTCTGTTTTCTACCTTTTGTTTACGTGAGTGCATTTACCCCTGCTGTAGTTTCTTTCCCCTATTGTTCTATTTTCCTTATCATTTTTCACAGACACAGATGTATGACATTAGCTGCTTACAGCTATATTTTTATTTATGAACCTGTAGTTTCACAACAGAGAGAGAAAGAAACTTCTCAATTTTGAGACACTTTAGAAAAATCACATTATCTGCTCAATTGCTTTAAATGTTGATCAGAGTAGCTATAAATTCAGCAGCATTCTAACTTACTTTTGCGTTGTGTTACAAATCAGCATATAAGAATGTTTTCACCTTAGAAGTAATTATTTTCTCACTTATGTGCCTCTCTTTTTTGATACAGTTTGACATAAAGCTCCCAATAGACAAGTAAGCCCATTAAAAATCATGCCTGCTGTTGTGACGACATTACTTTATGATATCTCTAAAATAAAGACTTTGTTAGGCTTCCTTCATATTTCGGAAGGAATACTAAGACCTGATTCATTCAGGGATTTAGCCTGCTTGAGTTTTATGTTTGCCATCCAAATAGAGGTTTAAATCTTCTGTAGTTGTGTGGGTTGTATATAATTACCAGTATTACAAATCCAGTGGAACATTTGGAATGGAAGGCGAATAATGGAGAAATCGTTCTAATTCTAAACTCTTATGCAGTGTCAGTTGACGTATATCATCACATGAGTTATAGACAGAATTTAGCCACAGAATCTTAGCATCAGTTTAATGCCCAACCTAGCTACAATCAAGTGTATTGTAAAAAAAAAGTTATAAATATCTTCTAGTAAATTACTGCAAGAAGAGGTCTGTTAGAGGAAAGGCAGGAATTCAAATGCTGCGGTATTAGTTTTTATAAAAAAGGCTTCAGTTCTAGATCTGCTTAGTGATGGTGTCATAAAGTTTGATCATAGCCTAATGAATCCAGGAACATGGGGTTTGAAGGTGGTTGAGACACAGAGGTCCTGCCTTTCATCATGCCTTTCATCATCAAAGAATTTTCTCCTTTCTAAGTATAAATGTTAGCTATCTGTCACAACTATTTGATGATCTGTAGGGCAAACCTTACTTCAGATATATTGTCATATGTGACAAGGCATCTCAATTAATGCACGTACTGGGATCTGAAAGCCCAAAGAGAAATCTGAATCAAACCAGAGTTGAGAAATAAAAGACATTCTAAAATTGGGCAGTACATGTCCCAGAAGGTCTTTGATCCCAGTAGGAAACTGCCCACGAGGGTAAAATTTCAAGCTGTGAAGCTGACCAGTGCAGCTGTTTGGCATTCTCATAACTGTCCTTAACAGCAAATCCTCTCAAATAGCATTTGTAAGTTGTATAAGTTATTTTTGGCATTACATTTGTCTTCGGTATTGGATCATGGTGTCGAGGTCTGAGATTCCCAGGACAAGAAAACATTAGTAAATTATATAAAATTAAGAGCACAATCACTAAGGGTGTTTTTTTAAGGTGGTTGAGAAACAGGCCATATACTTCAATAGTGTAAGAGCTCAAGCTGTTTAGTTCATCAAGATACGGTTAACAGGATGACTTTATTATATTCCACTCTGACTGAGCTACAGGCTGAATAGACTTTGATGTAAGTTTCCAAGAAGCAATTGTTGTGTAATTACGATAATCAAGTTCAAACTGGAAATAAAGCAAAATTTTAATAGTCAAAGTAATTAGTCATTAGGAAACTGTAACAAATGCTTTGCTAGATACTAATTTCAAATCAAGATTGGATATTAATTTGAATGCAATCTGTAGTTCAAACAGAAGCAAGTTCTTGGAGACTCCCAAGCCCAGCCAAACAAAATTATCAAATTGGTTTCATCTAGTCTCAAATCATGTCTTAAATCTTATTTCCTATCCACAGTAAGTGTAACAAACTTTTCAAGAGAATTTAATTATTTTTTATCTTATGTTGATGGGCAACATACAGCAGAATCACAAATATTGACAAAATTAGCTACGAACAAAGCAACAGCGATCTGTAAAGACAAAATGGCAATCAGAGCCTTGGCTACATTAATATGTTTTTTAAAAAAAAGTGAATTTGAACCTCTTTGGAAAAGGCAACAAGATCCTTTCAATTTTCTTACAATAAGTAAGGAAATGTGCTGGGTTGTTTACTCGCACCTGTAGTTCCAGTCTGCCTTCTTGGAGAAGACCATTGTGAGAGCTGGAGTATTCTTGAGAGTTTAGGAACTTGCCAGAAAAGTTATTCATTTTTAAGACTACTGTTCTTAATGTATTTAACTGGACTAGAAGCCAGAAATTGGATGTCTTTTGTATATCCCTTCCTGAGATACAGTTACCTTACACCAAGAAATGAAGACCGACTTTGTCCTCTGGCAATGAGTAGACGAAATGATGACTGAAACCATTTTCAAAATGTGGCCATCCTAGGAAATCTGTCAGAGACATCTAAATTTATAACTTCAATAGTTTAGTATTTCTCTTTTAGTGTGAATGCATAGCAGTATTACATAATGAGTCCTCCCATCGTGTTCCATAATCAAACAACATCTGTGTGTGCTCAGAAAAGATCTTTGTAAAGACAGACTGCCGCTGTCATGTGCTTTTGCAGGATCAACTGAGCCTGGACTGGGTTTTGGGGATGGGAGGGTTGATTTACTTCTCCAAACAGCTGAAGAAGAAAGGGCTCAAGAACCCTTGCATAATGACTGTTCATGACTGGGTCCATTTTAATCTTGAACATTTTAAGTATGTGGGAGCAAAATGTTTTAATGGGGGCCTTCTCCAGAATTTTTCTAATTATCTGTGGTCCTCCTCCCAAAATCTCAGGATGTTTGACACACACCATTTTGCTTTGTCTGGAAGTCACGAGTGAAGAAGTTTCTCCGTAGTCTGCAAGAAAAGCTGAGCTACACTTCATGGGCATGCCCAGCTGGGCCTAAATGCTTCCATAACTTTATTTTTCATCCTTGTGAGAAACTTGTCTAAATAACAGAAATGTGTGCTCTTATACTCCCTTTCTGTCCTGTTGGCTGGTCTTATGGAAAGGAAGCATTTCCCATGATATTTTGAATATCCTGAGCCACTAAGGGGGACACAGCTGGGCACAGAGCATTCCTTTATCCCCACGAGCCTCTCTTCTTCCCTGGCTCTTTATTACACCCGTTCTGCTTCCTTTACCCTCAGGAAGCCAGATGTTTTTAAAGAAGAAGGGACACAGAGCTTCCAGAACACTGCGGAGACAGGCCTACCAGATTGGTGAGCACCATTTTAAAACGCGTGGGACGTTGAGGCACATGCATGCTCACAGGCAGGCTCAGCTAGATGTCTGTCAGGGCTGGATGCAGAGCTCTGGGTAGGGACTCTCCAGGGTTTGTTGTGAGGTTGCGAATGATATTTCGTTCTGTCCAGACAGATTTTAGATAACACAATCAGGCTCCATGTTTCTCTTTCTACTCCTTCTGTTCACTTAGTTTTAATAAAATATAGTTTACGTATAGAATTCGCATTATGTCTTAATAGGCAAAAATAGCTATCCTATTGCATCTGATATTTTGTTAAAAAAAAAAAAGTGTCTGCTTTAAGACATAACTGATGACAAGGAAAGGTTTTAGAAGGCCTTTCCTATTTTCTCTTGGAGAGAGATTTTTTTTTCAAGTGACTTTTTTTTCAAGTCGTGAAAGGTGACACTTTTCAGAGAAAGCCTTTATTTTGAAGCATTTCCTGTTTATTGTGCTTCTACCTACAGTAGAGACATCCCTCCTGCAATTCAACAGCAGTTACACTGTTTACAATGAGGATGAATTTAGCTCTTGCACTCTTACATAAAACCGAAGCTATAGCAAAATGATGATAAGCTTAGAAACTCTTTGATAACTATACCAGGCCATCACATGTCAGATTCTGTGATACTTGCTACTTTTTTAAGCATTTAGCACTAGTTATATGAATTGGAATATTTTACTTTCATTTCATACTTTACATGTGATGCCAGTATAAGCCAGCACTGTTATATTCTTGCATAAGTGCTCTGAAAGAGAAATAACTGCAGCACTGTGTTTTCCCTTTCAACCTACCAGTGCAGTTACCTTTACTGATATGAGCAATTTGCTTGACATTGATTACTGTATTGTGTAGTGTAATCTTCAGTCAGGTTATTTCAACCCAAATGCAATTGCTGAATACTTTCCACTTCAAAAGTGCTTTTTTTAGTGAATCTATGTAGACTAAAAAGGAGAAATGCAATCAAACCAATGATCTTTACCACAGAATGCTCATCCAACTTCCTGGAAAAACTAAACAATGTCTGGTAAGTATTGGGAAAGAACTCCTAAGGTTCTTTGTCTTCAACCAATAAAATGGCCAGGGAAATGAATGGAAAAGAGCACTTCTCAGGTTCCCTCTTATATTCAGTGGATACACACTAGGCATGGTTTAGCATTAATATTGGTGGTGTCACAAGCCTCTAAGCATCATGCTTTTGTCTCCAGACACAGGAGAAATAAACACTCAGAACAGGTTGCCCTAAAAATAAACTGAATCCTTTGACATTTCCATTTACTCCAAGGCAGACAAAACCAAAGTGCCCACTGAGTAGTACAGCAGCAGAGCACCTGAAGTCCATTGCCATCAAACCTTTGTTCCTGTGAAATATTCAGTTTCAATATTGAGGAAAAAAAATCACCACAGTTCATAAGTAAATGCTTGCAGGTGAAAGTACTCAAGCAGCAGACAAGAATGTGATACCAGTAAAACCAGATCAAGACCCAGCTATCAGCAGCCTAATGCCTTCATAAGGGAATGTGCTAGTCAGTGCCTAAGTACCTGGCTTCTACAGTGTAAGGCCTTTTCCTGTTGTACTCTGACTGTTACCTTCATTTCTAACATCTCTAATCTTTTATCATTGTAGCATATATGCTCGGGGAGTCTTCCGAACAGTTCATGAAGACAGCAAAGACATTAGATAATTCTAATTCTCGTAGAAACTTCAACAGAAGAATTGAGCTCCAATTTTAAGATCATAAATGTGAATGTAAAAAAGATTGTTACGGAAAATAGTGTTCTTACTTGCAGCAGCATCAATCAAAATCAATCGAGATTGTTACGGAAAATAGTGTTCTTGCAGCAGCATCAATCAAAATCAATCAAAAGGAGCAGAGAAAAGCAACAGAGACAGATTTGTTCATGTTGCTCATAGACAAAAAATACATGAATTTAAAAAACATTCATTCAAAAGCTACTATAAGTTTTCCATATTCATTTATTTTCATTCATTCAAAAGGTACTATAATTTTCTAGCATTACTCACAATCTAACCTGTTTTTTTAAAGGAGTGTTATTGCAGCTGTTCAAAGTGACACAGAAGGTAGAAGAAATGAGGAATGCCCATATATTCCTAGAAATATCAAAATCCGAACAGCTTCAGTAAGCTTTAGAAAAGCTTACTGGCCAAAACATTCAAAATACACTCTATATAAGTTGGTTTGCAGTTGGCTAAATCTAATATGACAATTGTTCATTATTCTGCATCCTACAAATTACCGATTTGCAAAACATTCTGCTCAGCCATGATGACAAAGTCCTAAGTAGATGACAGACTTGGTCTTTATGCGCAGCTGCATCCATCTATTGATTCTGAGATGTCACCTCAACTGAAGGAAGAAGTGAGGTTTAATCCTAAAGTGTCAAACCCATATGTGTCTTTCCTCAAACAAAAATGTTACTGAGCTTGATGAGATCTCTTTCTGAGTATGATGCGTATGGTTTGCTGATTTTTTTTTTTTTTACCTCTATATTCTTTTTGTTTTGAAGGTATTTCATCATTTTTCTGACTTTGAACTAGAGACTTTGTGGAGATCTTTGCATATAAAGGGAATTCTGAACAGACCTTTGCATCTTTGTAAATATCTTTTCTTCTTCTGGGAGATATGTTTATCAGAGAATAGGCCTAAGACAACACAGAACTGGCATGAACCACTCTCCTCAGGTCATGTGGATGTGGCTTCTCTGGGCACCTGCAGACTCCGTGCAGCCTTTCAAATTTTATAGTTGGCTGCTGTGGTTTAGAGGAGCAGCCGATCTGCTGTATTTTCTTTAGTGTGACTGGTATAGAAAAACAGCTAGCACCTCTGTTTTTGCTGTGCACCCCCATGTACACACACTAACCTTAGACACATCCAGGAGCTTAAAATTCCTCTGAATCTGCAGAATAGGAGGAGTACTTCTTTCAACATATATTTTTCAAATAAAGCAACAGTGGTCAAGAAAGCTCTGCTTCTGTAGTCACAAAAGACACTTCTGCATGCATCTGGTGCATATATATCTTACTGTATCTCTGCCAAATATGTTTGTAAAGCACCTGTCACCGTAAGTTTAAAGTGCTAATTGTAATGGTTTGCATGCATGACTTTTGCAAGTATTGAGGTTTATAAAAGCCTGGGCTGGTGCATAAGTTGGTAGTACAGTCACGAGTGTCTTTATTAGTCACTCAACAATAATAGCTCTACAGGCCAATGTACAATGATAAGGACAGGAAATAATTGTCAAATAATAAGGTTAATTTGAATGAATGAACTACTGTGGCAAAGAGCATGGTGGAAATGGTCCTGGAAATTGGTAATGAAATACTGATTTTGCACTGTGATAATGACTTGGTAATTCATTCCTAGCTAAATGTTCCAGTTCAGTGTAATAGGGATCATTCATTTCATTGCAGAGTGGTAGATGATGCTGTGTGCCATTTGTTCTTAATTTGTTTTCCAATCTAAATGATAAAACCGAACAGCTTAACTGGTTGTATCTCAAACTGCTGGTGTAAGGGGGTTGCATCACAGAAGAGGTTGCCAGTGTTATAACGGACACTAAAACACAACAGGATCAGCAGAAACAAATTAACAAAAAGTGATTTCTAATTGAAAGCAAGAGGAAAATATGCTAACATTTAGGTTATTTTAAAATGGCCCTTTTACTGCCTAAAGAATTATTGACAGAATAAGAAGAATAAGAAGAATAAGAATTATTGACAATTTGTATCTTGACAGAGATATAAAGAACAAAAAAAAACCTCTTAAAATCTAGTGTCTATTCTGATGATGCTTTCAGGCTTTAAAGTTCCTATATATCTTTTCAGTTCAAAGAAAACTCAGTAATCAAGTGGTGCATAACTGTTTTCCACAAATTAGTCTGGATAATCAGAATTTTTGTGAACGTGGAAGGAGTTCCTGTTCTTGTATATTGCCATCCATCAAGCCTGCTCGTCCAATTAATACAACCAAATGGCCTATCAACTGCAATGTGTGCATGTGCTTACTGGATTCTATACTTGCTGCTGCCAGCTTAAAACGTGACACCATCAGTCTAATTTCCAAATCATATTTTTCATTCTGCTCTATAGAACAGAATGAAGAAGGTCAGGAAATTGAGGTAGTAAAATGGATACTGTGTGTATCAAACTGGCACACATAGCAGAGAATATCAAGATACCCTTAAAAGCATATGGCCTCTTTATGCACAGCATTATGTCTGCAGCTTCAAAAATAATCCACGCAATGCTTGTATGGACACAATATGTTGGACGTGAGGATTTCTAATATTGAGAGAAAGTTTGGATTTGGGTTTAACTGCCTATTTGAACAGTTTCATAAAGTGTGTGTACTCCTTATACAGCAGATTTTCATAGTTTTATTTACAGAAAAGGCTATGATGTAGTCTGGAACTGACAGAAAAAAAAAAATTAACCAATGTTGCGCATGTTAGAAAAGCACACTTTCTTCCCTTGCACAATGTCATTCTGACTTTGAAAACCACCAAATGAAACAGAGTAATTTTGCCATGTAGAAATGAGACTTCCCATCAAAATCTCCTTTACCTTGTTTAAAATGTTCACCGTTATATTTGAACACCTATTATGGTTCTGTCTGTGAAGAAAAAAATCCCAGATGAGTATAATCACAAGACCTTTGTAAGGATTTGTCATGGTAAATCAGACATTAGGTCTAGTAAATCCAGTCTCCTGCCCCGAGCCCCAGTGGCCAGGATTTCAGAATAAAGCCTCAGTTTTGTACGTGCCTAGACACCAAGTGTTATTTCTCAGCTTCATGGTGATTTGTCATAGACCTTTTGTCCTGTTATGCTCAGATGCCAACATTATTTTGTGTGTTCCCTCAGAATGCTAATAGTCTTCAGATATTCATTCCCTTTCCCTGTTAGTCCCAGGGAGAAGCTGCTCATTGTCATGCAGCAAATGAAACAAGAAGTAATATCTGTTTTCTGATTATATCAAGTAGGTGATTATATGCATTTTGAATGTTAACTCTTCACCTAAAATCTACTGAAAGAAAGGAAAATGTTTGCTGCTCTGTTGATTGAAGATTACAGTAGCTGATTTGTATTGGGAAAATGCTTTGTACTAATAGCAGAATAAGTTAAATTACCAGCCTCAAGTAGGTAGTAGAGTATAATGTATATAAGGTATAGCATAGAGAAATAATTAGATAGGCTTGAGTGACAGAAGGAGGTGTGCCAGATATGGCAAAAGAGAAAAGCCTTTGCAAAGACAAGGAATGTTATTCTGGGGTGGAGGGGAAGCCTCTTTTCTTGAGAATAGCAACAGCTAGCATAAACATTCAGTTTCTAATAGTAAGTATTATTTTCATCCTATCTTTCATTCTGTAGGAATTGAAAGCATATTGCAACTATCTAAAGAGCATATGCAGTGCTATAGATTGGATAATGTTTCAGTGGTATGATTTTTAAATATCTTACATTATACGTTTGGTAAAGAGAGAGATACATTATATAGGTCATCCTACTGAAAATATTAACACACCAAGGTAATCTTCAACTCCCAACATGGCATATAACAAATAAATTCTCTGTATTAATTAAATGAGAAACTGTTCCAGTGGTATGCTAATATAAAACAGTTAAAAAAGAGTGACTTACTGCCCTCAGAAACAAAGTTGTGAATTCAGCCTTCCCCTGGTTTGAGTTTTGTTCTTTTATTCTTTTATTTTTGGTAAGTAATTTTACTATATATATAATAAACAAAAGCACTTACATTTCTTTAGGTAACTTAACAGTGAATTACAGTCTCATTTGCTTTTTAATGTTCTTTCTATCATTCTCAAACAACAACCAAAGACAAACTTGGTAATCCAGAATTAGGATGTCCTCAAGCAGGTGGTCTTGCTACCTAGGAATAACTTTTATATATTTAAGTCAGATAAAATGAAACAGCCTGAGAGCAAGCTCCAAATGAAGATCCTCAATTACATCACCACCCAGTGAGAAAAATATACTGGTAGCAGTCTTGGTCTAGTACTGTCAGCATGAGTATCTGGCTCTTGAAGCCTTTGGGAGACCTATATCCAGCTGTGTAATGAATGTATGCTGCTTGCTACACTCATTGGCAAGGATTTAGGAATACCTGAATGCTGGGAGAGTTTTTCTAGGACAATCTTAATAATAATCTTAAGCCACATCTTATTAGATACAGACCACTACTTAGTGCATCAATATCAAGCAATTAAGATGTTAACAGTGTCCAAGAACAGAGTTGCTTCTTTCTTCTTGCCTTCAAAAACTTGTAAAACCTTGTGCTGATTTTTGGATAAAATTTTCTTGATAATTCAGAAGGGACAGCTGAGAAAATGTGTCTGTTCTCCAAAAAACAGAAGGTGAGACTGTTTTGCCTGTATTTTAAATTTTCCCCCCAAATTGAGTTCAGCCATTCAGTATAGGCCACTTAGAGTATCCAAGAAACTCATTACGCTGAATAATTTGCTCGTTAAGACTTTACTGAAATCATAAAGGCACATGTCACAATCCGCACAGCCACTGCTTCCTTAAAAAGAATGACAATATTTAGTTAATTTAATTATTTAATTAGAGCCTGCAGCCTCCATCATGGCACTAGCAATCTGCTCCTTCTTCTGCTTCAGTTTGTTGCCTACTTGTTATAAAGCAATATGACCTAAAGAGTGCAGGTAACCTCAACCAAAACGGAGGAATCTTGCAGGAAAAGCACGCCGCGTGATACCAAAGAACATGCTGCATCAGCCACTGGCAATAGGACAGAGTACATATAAATACATACATTATTTCCAATTCTTTCAATGGCATTCCAAGAAGGAATACGGCCCCATGAAGAAAGACTTAAAGATCTTTAGGAAAAAAGATATTGTTGAAGGAATATGGCATATAGTCATATAAATTAATCAGCTTATGGTCAGTTCACAAATGTTAAAAACACTATATGTATTTAGTATCTTGCAAGATCCTTTCACCTTCTCATGCAGCTTTTCTTATCAAGTTTCTCCAGTGCATGCTTTTAGGTTAACACTACTGTTAGGTAGATGATGACTGCTTCAAAATTGTAATTCTAGTGTAGGTTAAAAAAAAATAAAAAGTCACAGTGAAATATACCCAATTTCTATCCTCCTCCTTCCCAGAGTTATACTTTTTGCATGAGGGAGCATCACAACTACTATTGCACTGTTTCTTGTGTTTTTCCAAGATGAAGAGGATGTACAGCTGGCTTGGCTGCAGAGTCCTCTAATGGAAGAGATAAAGGGTTTGCTCTCACTTTTCACTGATGGAAGCTTTCAGTGGAGTCTGACCCCCATTTTTGCACATTTCCAATAAGTTAGATAGCACTTCAGTCTGCTTGGTGTCAAAGAACTTCCCTGGGCTGGGCCCCCTTAGGTAGCCCTGTCAGTTCATCTCATGATATATGTTGCTATCTACTCTGCAAGTCACACACTTTCATGCACCTGTATTGCTACTCTTTGGTTCCAGTATAAAACATCCCACTGTTCCTGTCAAGAAGATCTTAGAGCAAAGGATGTCAGACTGTGTGGTATTCACTTAATGGGTTTGCAGTTCTTGAGTGTAACAGAGCAGTGTGAAGGAAAAGATCCTGTATTATTGTAGAGTTCTAAGTGTTTACTATATGTGGGTATATATATGTCTGTGTGGGTGCGTGTATACACACAGACACATACTGTAATTCATAACTGTACCACTCATGTACTTGCCTTTTTTTTTTTCCCTGTAGCCCGGATGATTTACTGAATGCACTGAATGAGGGTATCAGCCGTGCCGACGTGATCATTACATCAGGAGGTGTATCTATGGGAGAAAAGGTATGCTAAATTTGTCTACAGCTTGCTAGAATATGTAAGAATTTCAAGCTTGAGCAGAGCATCACAGCTACTACCTTTGTATTAATGCTTATTAAAAAGAGATCTTACTTTTTAATTTAAGAAGTGACTCTGAGTTAATTTTTAAAAGTCTTCAATGCCATCCTCATTTCCGTTGCACAGTAGAAAAACAGGAGAACATGGAAGAATCCAGTTCTTGATGTGAATGCTTTGCAGATGTGTTTTTTGTTTAAGGAACAAATTTTGTAGTTGTGGTGACAAAGGTATTTGGTTAATAGCACATGAAAGCAACAGACTTCTTTTTACTCTCAGAGTAGGTTAAATGAAGATAAACTAAAGCTACTTTGAAAGTACTATGAGGAGCAACTGAGTATATAAATGATTCTCTCTTACTCAGCAGATCTGTTTGCTGAATGTGCTAGGGCTATATCTGTTACAGAAATAGTTTTATCACATTTTACTCCTGCCTACAGAGGCAATGCCTACGAGACGCAGTGAGCTGATATATTTGCCTTTTGAATCATTAACAGAATTGTTGATTGAATTCCCGTTGGTAATCCCTGTGACAAATCATCAAAGAAAATAGGGATACACAGATGCTGGTGGGGCGTAAATGAACCTGCAGGACATTTATTAATCATGACTTATGCGAAGGAAAACTCAGATTACTTTTTGATCCCAAGCTGAATCTGTGAGTTTGGCAGGTAAAAGAAACATCTCTCCTTTTATAACTAACAGATACTAAAGACAGTCACTAGAAGATGACAAGCATGAGCGCTGTTTTTGTCCCTTTTCTGAGTAGAAAACATTGTTGGATATATCATGAAAATAGATAACTAGTTAAACCAATGAGAAACACTTTCAATTCCTCTAATATCCTTGGTGTTACTAGAAAAATAATAAGGATAAGTGCTGGTGCTTAGTTTGGGGAGGTGGTGATGAAGTACAGACACTGGATCACTAGGAAGCGAGTAGACTGCTGAATTGTCAAACAGGCATTTATGCATTTTGGCTAAATCCGAGGCTTTATAAGTAGACTCTGTATTCCACTGGCAGTTCTCCTTCTGAGCTTTCAACACTTCTAGTGAAATATCCTTGAACATGCAAATATTAAAAAGCAAATAAAAAGGGGGTTACTACACTGCATCACTACAATCAATAGGTAAGCATTTAAATTTATGGTGGTCCAATAATAGCGATACTTTTCAAGTATTCGAACAACAACAAAAAAAGAACGGGGATGGATGGGAAAACTGCAAAGGAGCTTCGGATACAGTGTTCTGAGAGTCTCTCTTGGGAGATGATTATTATGCTCTGTCTTAAGTCTCACTAAACACAGCAGACAGGATACTACATCTTTGTAGTACTCGAGCATAGCAATTTTTAGTAAAGATGAAAACGTAAGTCCAGTTTGGGGGTTTTTTAACAGTTGGATCGATTGTTTTCAAGCAGGACATTTCACTGGAATGTGCAAGCCACCCACAGTTTTTCTGTTCTAAGAAACTTAGGACAGTTAAACCCAACCACTGTTAGATCATGTCCTCCAAAAATTACAATAAGAGTATCCTATAAAATTCTGTTTTTAACAGCAGAACCTAAATTTCAAAAGCTATAGGAGATCTCTAACTTCGTACAGATTGCTTCTTTGGTAAAAGATAAATAACTTGATGATTTTAAGTCTTAACTTTGAATTATAAAGGTTTTTTTTCCTCCTCTTTGGCATAACCAATATTTTAGGAATAGGTAATTGTGGGGAACTTTAAGATTCTGATGCTGCAGTTAAATTTATGTATGTTACTGTGCCCTCATGGAGACAGGTTTGGCACTTAAAATGAATCTGCTATTTACGTCTTTTTTTTTTTTGAAAATATTTTTTTCAAATACTGGAAATTCCCCACTGGACTATAGCACTTTCAGGATTTGACAAGTCTTTCCTCTCTACTTGATATTAATTGATTGCTTTGAATACTTAAATGGTGTAAGACACTTTGATGTTACTTAATCAGTTTTCTCTTTCCATTTTAAACAGGATTATCTTAAACAGGTGCTGGACATCGATCTTCACGCACAGATTCACTTTGGCAGAGTTTTTATGAAACCAGGGTAAGAAATCTTTTTAATTAAGTAGCATCAGTGGAGTCTATTTTCTGGCCAAATATGCTATATAATGTTTCAGTGGATACCAGGCTTTAAAATGCACTGTAAATCTCACACATGCACATATATAAAACCGCATATGCATAGTTGGATATAAATAGACGTATAGAGAGATATAGGGAAATAATTACTCTTATTCAGAATAATCTTGGATCTTTGTAGGTAAAACTAACTTGAACAGAGGGATGACTTTTGATCAGTAATAGATATCTTTCTGATAACTGTTGCAAATCAGAGGGGAGGAAAATCGTCATACTGCAGACACATCCACAATCCTGGCTATGATCACTCAGCTCAGACACTGACAAGTAACAGGGAATTATAAAGACATTTAAGTGCTGATTTGACAAGCATTTTGTTTCACTTCAAAGTTTACATAACTCAAATTGATGTAAACAAGCAATTTCTTGAGAAAGGTGGAATGACAAATAATTTATAAGGTTTTTTATTATTATTATTTGACTTGTTAAACACAAGGATTTTATAGGAAACTCAATGTTTTGTGCTTGGTTTATCTCAGAAAACAGTGCTTCGGTATTGGTTTGCTGTAGCACGGCTAATTAATCTGTCAAGGCATGTGCTTTGTGGAGACAATAAAGATTACATCTAATGAGAATAGTGACTTCTTTTTCACAAATACAGGAGGGGAGAGTTTCCACAGCCCTGTCTCACTCTGTCTCATGTTGCGCAGTCCAATAACTGAACCCCGAATGCAACTTGAAAGTGATTCCCTCTAGCCCATAGTAGTTCCCATGGCGGAGAGCAGAAAATGGGTGTTTTCTGGGGAAACAGACCAAGGCTCTGAGTAGCTCTGGACGCACCCCAAGAAAGGGCTGCCTGAGCACTGGCGCTTGTGCTGCGGCTCCCACCACCTCCTGCCTGTGAAGGGAACAGGGGAGCTGCAGAAACGTTCCCTCCTGCATGGGCCCTGCGCAGCCCAGCGCTAGAAATTGTTCTGCTGCTGCCAAAAAATCCGAGAGCTGGGGCCTGCAGTCCAGATTCTAACGCTGCCAAAATGGATAACCTGATGGAGGAAATTCAGAGCATTACGTTCTGGTTCTGGCTTATCTGAAAGCTAAGGGAACGCCTTCTTCTGGTGATCCTCCTGCAGACTTGGAACAGCAAGCTCTTAACAACTATCCATACAAACCTTGAGAAACCTTTTTTTTTCAGGTACACCATTTTTATTTTAGGCCATTGGAAAGATTTCTCACTATTACAAAAACATTTGGTCATCTAAGCTCACTGAGAACTTAAGCACCCTCATTTTCCTTGACTGTACTACAGGAGCAAATACTCTGTCTCATGTGTTAGTTTATTAAGGTTATTATTATATTACACTTTTATTATATCTTATTTTATTATGTTCTTAAAAGACCTTAGATTTTACTAGAGCTTTGATTGCTATATTAGGAAGAATCACCAAGGATAAGTTCCAATAGCCAAGCAAGATTAGAATTTGGTTTGTGTGCCTGTGTTTTGATAAGCCGTATCAGTGCAGTGTGATTCCTGGGATTTACCATTCCTCCACTTGATCTGAAAGCTGCTGAACTAATGCAGGATGATAGCCTATCAAGGAGCAATGTCAGAGTGAAGTACCAGAAGACAGTACCAGTAATTCTGTAGAAAATTCATAGGGGAATTCAGAGTTTCGGGTAAATATGAATTAGCACTTACATTTGTCATACCTCAGTTTGTGAACTGGATATAGCATGCTGTAGTTTGGAGGTCCAGCTCACAGTTCTCATCATTTTAACACAGACACTTCAAACACCAGCTGTGCCTGGTAAAATATGATCTTGATTAGTCCTAGCAGATAGAAAATTAAATAGTAATGATGACAAGTGTGATGTATCTGCTAAGTATTCCAGACCAGGGGATAGTCATTTGCTCGAGATGAAACTGAGGAACTCAGTCTAATCATTGCTCCCATGAGGTATCCTTTAATGTCTAAAATAATGAAAAGTTTTAAAAGGTGCATAGAAAATATTTTTAATGGATAAGTCCCTTTTTTTAGACAGCTATATTCCTATCACAGCACTGCCCTGTTTGTATAACTAATAGCTGGGATAACTAAAGACTTAAAGCACTAAAGACCGCTCCAGAGAGGCTCTGGAAGAGAGGGAGAGCTCTTCCCTCATACACCGAGGTCTTCCCTGGCAGCAGCTCTGAGTCTGTCCTCTGCAGGAGATCCAGCAGGAGCCACTGGCGCTTCTGAAATACTGCGCGAGTGTCGCTGCTGCTGTAGACACTGCAGTAAGGGAGGATAAAGTCTCTATATGCTGCAAAAAAAAACTTTAGAGAACCCTATATTAAAAAAAAAATGGAACTGTATAATTTTGATACTACCCCTCTCAGCTTCTAGCACGAAGACAACATTTGTATTTTGGAGGATTAGTTTGTCTGCTGTTAGTGATGTTTCCTCATCAGAAGCAAGATCCTCAGCTTGCAACTTCACAATTGAATACCAAGAAAAACTAGTTGTTCTGTCAGGTAATCACAAGCAGAGGATTATGGCTCCAGTATGGAATAAACAGCAGGTGCTCGTGAGCTGCCAAGAAAGAGAGATCCTGTTTTGTTTTGCTTTGTTTACAAATCCTTTAAATAAAATGAGCTTAAACACAGGTAGAAAATATCTGAGCTAGTCACAGGGCAGTTTATAAATAGAATGATAGGTGATTATTTTGTCTAAGCTCTGCAAGAAAAGCATTTATGATAATAAGAATAAAAGTAACTGAGAGTTATGGGGTTATGTGTCAAGGAGATGCGAGAGAAGTTGTGATGCGAAAAAAGAAAGGGCAGGATATGAAGGGAGAAGAAAGATAAATGATGCCGGAGATAAGAGAAGATGCCCTGGATATGAATATGAACTTTCTAAATTCCTCAGCGCAATCTAGGATAATTGTGATGCATGCAATCCATGAGTAGAGAAGGCAATGAGGATAAAAAAAAAAGAAAAAAGGAAAGCAATAAACTCCACATTACGTAATGTGTGAAAAAATGCCTTGAGTTTACCTGTGCATTAAAAGGTATGTTCAGTCAAAGTCCAATGTAGATACTAAATAGTTTTCTTTTTCCATAGCCTGCCCACAACTTTTGCAACTCTGGATATTGATGGTGTAAGAAAAATAATCTTCGCACTCCCGGGTAAGACATTTTGGGATGATTTTTGTTTCTATGCCCAGATAACAGCAAACATGATAAAACAGTGGCATTTCACAATGCCCATGCCTGGGACTGGCACCCCTAGGATGGGAAGCAGTAAGATTTTCCCACAAATTTCTAAAGGAGAGTGATGCACTAAAGATTTCTTACCCCATCCTGAGCATTGCTGTATTATAGGGTGTAGATTTTTTTCCATCAATTTTCCACCAATTTCCTTCTTTTTGTAAATTATACTATAGAGCAGGGTTTTTCTGCAATTTCCTCCTCCTTCCAAATAGGTACACTGTGCAGGCAGGTCAGTATGTCCCTCCTGAAGGACTGAAAATGGAGACAAAACATAGAGAATCCAAGAAGGTTTGGGTTTTTTTTGTTTTTTTGGGATTTTTTTTTTTCAGAATTAAGGGGTTTTTTAAATCCTGCTCGCTCTGTTGAGCCAAGAGAGGGCAGTGTTGCTTCAGCTCCTGAGCACGGGGTCGCTTTGAAAAGGCACTGGCTTCAGAGCAGCTGTTTGTGGGGACTCTGGCCACAAGCCTCCCACTTCCTAAGCCAGGAGGGTCCTTTTTTCTTCATATTGCCCTGGATTTGTTTGGTTTTCTGACTACACGAGGGCTCCTGTTCCTGATAATCTGGTGTTTTTTAGGTCTCCAGTGCTTTTCCTCTCTTGTGTTGGTTGTTGTGCTTTGTTTGAGGAGATAGATGAACGGAGCATCACGTAGCTCTGAGCAGTTGCACATTGTCACATCCCACTGCAGGCTTAGGTGCCATGTGGCCTGCACCAAGCAGGCTTAGGTGCCACTGACTCCTTTAGAGTGTAATTGTTAGAAAAACCCACCATTTCCTTGGGCATCGTGTGAGGGAGTCACCTCCAACTGCTCTTTGCTCAACAGGCAACCCTGTGTCCGCTGTTGTCACCTGCAATCTCTTCGTCGTTCCTGCACTGAGGAAAATGCAGGGTATCCTGGATCCTCGGCCCACCATTATCAAAGCCAGGGTAAGAAACAGGGGCTGTACTTAAAAACTTTTGTCCAAGAAGTTCACAGTAAAGAAAAGTGCATTCTGGGTCTCGGTTAATGTTAATATTCAGTCCCATAATTTCTGACAGTTAGATGGCGAGCTAATGACCCAAGATGTACATGTACCCAGGCAGCAATCTTCTGATCAGTCAGGCAGGACACTTTGCTGTATAAAAGTCCTGTGGCAAAGAATATGCAGCGTGTCTAAATATCTAGGGAATACCAGGAGAGTCAGGTAGTTCTGCATGACCAGGTAGGAACTATAAACTTCTAAACTTGTGCTTGTGCCAGTTCTTGAGCTGATTGTTTGATGGAGGAATCCACATGATCCCCACTCCAAGCAACACAAGTCCCTTACGCTATTCATTCTACCCGGAGAAGAAATCCTGGATATACCAAAAGTATTTCTTGTAGTTTCAAGGCATGTTGTTGTAATGTTACTTTCCTAGTTTTCTTTCAAGAAAAGTACCAAAGAACAGACCTCCTGTTACAATTTTCCTACCATTCTTGGCTGTACTCACACTTCTGTCTTACTGCTTGTCCCTTTCACACTTCTTCAGCAGTCAAAATTCTTCTTTATCTCACAGCTAAAATATTCTAAAACAGACAGTGACTGACAGTGTTTCAGTCTTGGTGCTGCCCAGTATGACCCTCACTTTTGTATGAATTTTCATATATGCTTCCAATAAATCTCAGTATAAGCCACTGCACATATTTCTTTTCATTTCAAGGGCTGAGCATTTCCCTTCTGTCCAGGCTAGCAGGGTTTTGAAGGTGAATAAAAGTTTTATCTTTTTGCAAGTGTCATCCTGAGACCAGAAACTATAAAGCTTTTGTTTCAGAGAGATATAGTCTTTAAACTCTCAGAAAAGAGACTTTAGAATTTTCAACTTAACCCAAAATTCCCTTAAATACTACAATCTCTTCCTCCTAGAGCCTCTGACCTTGTCCTCCACACTCTCTGACCTTGAAATATAAAAGAAAAAACTGTTGAGAAAAAAAAATAAATATATAATAAACAGATAATGTAATAATAACAATAATAATTCCATTATATTAGTAAAATGCAAATGCATGACATCTTCATCCTTTCTTTGCTTCTTCTACAGTTATCATGTGATGTAAAATTGGACCCCCGCCCAGAATACCATCGGTGCATACTGACTTGGCATCACCAAGAACCACTACCTTGGGCACAGAGTACAGGTTAGTCCTCAGTCACACCGACAAACTCTTCCACCTTCCTGCACAAATGCTTTCAAGCAACCAAGCACATGCACATGTATTTTCATACATGCTTCTTTAGGCAGACTGATTCACTGACAAACTTGTGCACCCGCATACACGTACAGTAGCATAAAACTTACCCATGATATGACTCACCAACTTAATCATTAAAGCTCTACCTGGATAACTTGCCTTTATATTCACCCACACAAAAACACATCTATATGCCTGCCTAGGTACACACACTCCTTTTTACACGCTTTCATCCAGGCTTATTTGCACTCACGCACAGGCACGTTTGCTTACTTTTACTCTTGCGCAGGTACTAAACAAACACAAGTTGGGGCCCAAGTAAGAACAATTCAAATAAGTGCAATTCTATCTGAACTGGAAAAGTATAAGAAATAGCAGAGGCAATGTCTGTTCTTTTAAGTACATTAAGTTCTTTATTAGTTGTGTTTGCCATCTAGAGATACTTCTGGATACTCAGCTGCAGTTGAGGTAAATAATATTTTGAGTACTTTTTCCACCTGCATGCTGCTACAAGATTGACTGTGATTGCTCAAGATATTCAGGACCTTAAACCACTAATTGACTTTTGGACACATCCAGATTGTTCAATACAAGGCATTACAAGCAAGTCTTCATAGAAGACATGTTGGCCCAACATGCATCTTGCTGTTGACGTAGACAAAATTCTTACCATTGATATGCAAGGTCCTTCAATCTCTGGTATTTCGCAGTTGTGATTCAAAGTGTTATCTTTACTTAGAAATGTTCAACTCATTTTTTGTCTTGTGCACCATTCTTTTCTTTACTCAGTCAAGATCGTCTGGAATGATTTCCTTGTCAATATAAAAGTTAGAAAACCAACAAAGGCCATTACTTTTTTATTGCATTTTCATTTTTTGTCAGTACTACTAAGATGATATTGTTTATCCTCGGGACCTGTTATAAAGCACAATGTCCCAAAGAAATCCAATCTTTTAACTGGTGCATTAAAAAATATTCTACCTTGTCCTGGGTTTTGCTTTTGTACAGTCTGAATTAAATGTACAAATTGAAAAATAAACTATTTTTGATAAGATTAGAAATTCCAATGGAAAAACAATTTACTATGCAAAGATATAGAAGCATGGACAAAAGTCTGAGTGGGGAAAATGTGAAAGGCTGGCTAGGAAAGTAATCAGAGATTTTGAGAACCTGAACAATGAGCATCTGACTAATTTTCTACATAGTTCTCTGTTTCCATCCCGTAGCCTTTGATCCCAGCGCTATGAATAAGTAGCAACATGAATATCTCCGTAAAAGCAGCCTGTTCCCCTCCTGTTGTGTTGCAGCATTTGGAAGAAATTGAAAAATTAACTGAAATTTTTCTTTCCCTCTCCTGTAGGGAATCAGATGAGTAGTCGTCTGATGAGTATGCGCAGTGCCAATGGACTGTTGATGCTACCTCCAAAGACAGAGCAGTATGTGGAGCTTCACAAGGGGGAGGTGGTGGATGTCATGGTCATTGGAAGGCTATGATGTCACCAGCAGGAGCGAAGCTTTGATGCATGTCCACATATCATTGACTGTATCCTGTAATATGCAACGGCACAGCTAGTTTTTCTGATTTGGATAAAAGTTGATCAGTATAGTCAACATCTTGAACTATATTTCAAATGGAATTTAAATAATACCTTTTAAAAAAAAACTTTAAAAGCAAATCTTAACAAAGAAATTTATTCTGATTATATCAAAGCAACTTTTTCCTTTCCTTGCAATTGCTTTGTGTGTTCAATGCTAGTTCTAATAGCGGTAGCTTTTAGTAGACAGCAGTAGGTGCCTGCAGAACTTGTGTTTTTTCTCATCTTTAAGATACAACTACTTATGCTCTTAAAACAAGGCTGTCTGCTTATTTATACTAGCGTAGACAACACTTGGATTTCCCTTATTAGTATGCTTCATAACCGCTTCACAGAGAGCTTCTGCTTGTTCTTTATCTTGTATCTCGTGTTGATGTGCACAGTGCCAAAAGCAGAGTGGCTGCCCTGGGAACCCCGTGAAGCCCCGAGGTTCTCCCACCTCGCTGCGCGTTCAGGGATCTCTCTTGTCCCAGCAGCCACCCAGCTCAGTACTCTTGGGCAGTAACTGGATACCTTTTATTTCAACAAACAAACAAAAAATTGCTTCCTTAAGTGCTGACAGCCTTTTTAACCAATACATTTAAAAATGTACAGAATTAAAAACTAAAAAAAAAAAAATCAAAGACTGATCTTGTACAGATATTAGTGTTACCAGCATTCATGTGGAAATTAAATGAGCAAAGAATAAAACTAATGTTAAACAACTCTGTACCATAACATTTTCTGTAATGATATTGAAACTTAAATGAATAAAAAAAATCCTCAATCATTATTTAAAAATTCACCTGTTTAGCCTTGTTGTTTGAACCAAAAAAAATGTGTTTTAAGGCGGGTGTTTGGGATGGGGAAAGAACAGGAAGGAAGTGGAACAGGAAGTGTAATGTATTGCTTTGGTAATTCCACATCTCTCCTGGGATTCACACCATATCAGCACCCTGTAGCACCTCCCTTCTTGCTCTGTGGGCCATTTGCTGTCCCACCAACTCCACTCATGAAGTCAGAGGACAGGGACTGAGTTCTGGATTCAGGTCCTGAACGCTGCAGTGGAGCAGATCCGTAGGTCCGTGCTGGCTGCAGACAGCACCCCCAGGGCTGGTTTTAAGACAGAATTATTTGCCTGGCATCAGCCTCGACACAAGGAACACAGGCCAGCACAAAGGCAGAGGCAGGTGAGCAAACACTGCACAACGGCGACTACTCCTTCAGAAAAATCTTATCACAGTTGTCATCCATATTTCTTTGTTCTATATTGCAAGTCAATTCTTGTAAAATGAAGGTAATGGTTCTGTGAAGTGGCAGGCTGGTATCAGACTAAATTCATGAATGCCTCTATTTACTGTATGAGTAGTGCAGACCACAGAGGCAGCGAGAGACAAGTCGCTTCTGAGACTGATGTCTCAGAGCAATGTAGAAGAGCAACACTCTTCATTATAATCTAAGTTAATACATAGCTAGTTATTACTACAGGCAAATGTCAGGCAGCATATGCAAAGAAAATTATAAATTCATAAAGGACGCTTGTAACAACAATCTGAGGAAAGATTATTGATACAGGCAGAGATGGTAGACAAAGATAAAATGAGAGAGAGATGTGACAAAACCTGAGCATGAGTGTCTTGGGTCTGTTTTACATTAAAACTATTACCCAGTTTGGATGGGGCTGAGAGCAGCATTAGAGCTGTGCTGGGTACTGCATCTGGGTCCACTGAAGCCATATCTCAGCACCTTGCCACTTAACCACTGTCAGAATGAAGAAAGCATTTAGAGCTTCAAACACTTTTTTTTTTTCCAGATAAAAATCCTATCACATACCTTATTAATTGCTCGAGTCACTGTACTGTCTTTAGTAATGCCTGGAGTCAAGTGTTGGAAGTTTTATGCAAGCAAGCAAGCTTTGCAGTTTCTGAGACACGCACACAGCAAAGCCAAGTGTTAACACTGAGAGCAACAGCCAAATGTGCTTGGAGAAGCATCTGTGGGAGCAATTTAACTTTAAATCATAATTACAACTAGGCCTTGATTATCAGACCTAAAATTTGCTGTCTGAAGAATTGACCATGGCTATTACACAATGAATAGCTGATTTCAAATCACTCTTATATTGGACACTCCTAAAACACTATTTAACAGAAGGTAGAAGCTTCAGAAAAGAAATCAAGGACAGATGGATCAGACTCCTCTTCAAGTATTTGGTTGCTTTGGTTCAAATATTGAAACTTGTGAATGGAAATATTTTAGGGACTATTTTCACTATTTTTGTTTGTTGAGTTAAAGCTTCAGCACTATCGAAATAAATAGTAACAACCAGAAACAACACCATCAATGACCGAATAATGAGGCTGGTTTTCCAATGTTTGTTTTCTCCTTTTTACATATTTTTTTCAGCACCTATCCATGGAGATAATCATGGCTAGAAACATACACTGTGGTCCTTCAAAGCCCTGGCATAACACCACACTGATCTGCAAATCCTACAGTGGGTCCTGGTGCTCTACCTGGCTATCCCGGCAAGCTGGGACCAGAACCTTGATCACACCCCAGCATGTGAAATCTTATACAGAAATTGGCCATAATCAACCAGCCAAAAAGACCGGCCCTTACCAAGTACTAGTTTCAAAACTTTAATTACAGAAATCATAACCTTAATTCTATCTTGATATTAAAATATGCTAAACATCACATAAGACAGATGAACTGTCTTTGATCTCCTTAGGTAACTATTAGAGAGCTTTAGGGCTCAAGAGATCACTAATTAACGTGGAGTCTGTAGCCTTTTTGATTCTTGGGCTGCAGGATTGAATTTAAAACATGTTTACATAATGGATACAGCTTTGAGGTGATATGCAACTGGGATCATTCCGTAGACTCCCTCTTCGCCTTGCTGCTCCTGCAGTGTCTTTTTGGAGCTAAGTCCTGAAGAAGCGCCGCTTGCCTCACGGCCTGTAAGGGTGGTCCTCAGGCCAAGGCAGCCTGCGCACAGGCTGCGCTGACCGCAGAGCTGCCCCCGCGCTGGCTGTATCTGCCCCTTCCTTCCATTTGCCTCGGTTCCCAACGTGCCAAGGCCACAGGAGCGCGGGCCGCCTCGCGCAGCACCACAAGGCGCGGGCCGGCCTGGTACAACGCTACGGCCGCAGGTGGGACTCGAGGAGCTGCCCTGAGTCCCGCTCCAGCTGGAGCCCTGTGTCAGCGCTTGCTGGAACTGTGTCTGGAGGCTGAGACTTCATGATGGTACAACCTATTCCACAGCTGGTTTGGACATCAGAGCCAGGCTAAAATGACCCAGTTCCGGCACATCCTATGACTCTCTGTTATGCTCTGATTCTCCTCAGAAACAGCACCATCATGTGGACTGCATATGGGGTTCTGTGTTGGACAAAAGAATTACACATTAAAACACAATAGCTGTGATTTTTCACATGACAGCAGCAGGATGTTTTCAGATACTTCTATTTGCCATTTGGAAATACAAGACAAAGTCAGGGGAAAGGTCAGATACAAAAAGGAAGAAATACTGGACCACACTGAAGATACATCTCTCAGGAAGCATATAGAGAGGTTCATCAGCAATCAAGACTGTTCTAGGAGAAATGGACAAGTGGTCAAAGTTGCAGCTATTTGGGAAGAAAAAAGGATTTGTAGTGAGCAGAGCAATTGCAGTTGCTGCTGACAGCAAACGCAGCAGTCTGTGTTGAATAGATATGTAACAAGGACATGTACCCAGAGCAGCATTTGGTAAATTGTGGTTAAGGACATTGTGGCTAGGGCCCTCCATCTCACAATAAGAAATGTTATATCCAATAATTACAAATACTGAAAGGTTTGGCAGCTCCACCCAAAGCCAGCCATGCTCAAAAGATAAAATCCAACGTCTCCACCACTTCTGTACTGCATGCCAACAGGTTAAGCTCTATATCAGAGCCAAGTGAAAAATAAAATCCACATTTTTATGCTTCTTTAATGTTTCCTTTATGGCTATTTCTTCTATTTTCTATATTGTTCAAGCTTGCTGCTAGTTTTCTAGTATATCCCTGCCTCCAGCCGGAAAGGTGAGTTCACTTGTGGGATATAAAGTCAGGGGAAGGAAAAGCTTGTCATTTTTGCAGATGATACTGCTTCCTGATGCACTGCGAGTTGCATGTTTTTCTGAAAGGGCTTGGTGACTCATATTCAGCATTAGATCAAGACTCGTTCTGTGCATTCATGCCGTGCTGCACATAAGCTGACAAAGCTCCTGGAATATGAAGCATTCAAAGGGGCCCTGTGGAGAATATTTCTAGCTGTCAGACTGGCCTGGCTCGGGTTACCTGCTCCATCGCAGCACCAGCTATGCAGCTTGAGCTGTCTCCTTGCAGAGTGCATTGCACAGCCAGCCTTGTTCCAGTGCAAGGATTTCTGCGTTTGCTTTGCATGGAGCCGGTTCGGATTTAAAATTGCAGACTGCCAACCTCATTGTTGCAGAGTTGATTCACAAGCAAAACTGTTTGTATACCCCACTAACTGCAGAGTTAATCTGAACACCTGAGAAAGCAAATGCACTGTCCCGACCGTGGCAACCGGTGATTCGATACTAGAAGTCACTAAGAAAAATGTAAGAGGAGATGAGACTTTTCTGGAAGATAAACCCATGCACAAACTACACTATAGGCAATGGCAGAATAAGATCTCCAAAACCTGATTTACACACGTTGTAGATAGAAGCAGTGCTAGATTATCAGGGTCATACCCTGGTGCATTTGTTTCTGTAAAAACAGAAGTCTTGTTCAGCTGAGCGAATAGCTGAGTGAATGGTGAAAATATTTTTAGACCTGTAGATCAGGTCCAAGAGAACCTGAAACAAGATGAAATTTTCTGACCAAAATAAAATCAGAAATGTAAGGCCACCAAAGCAAAGAATATTGACACGTTACCAGCCAGTGGCACAACAAGCCACCGTCCCACCAGACGGACAAGTATGCAAAGGGGTCTTCAGCGGAACGTACCATTATGCTCGTGCTGATTTTATTGTGCTCGAGCAGGTCCAGGAGCGTACCCTTACCAAGAAGGGAAGACCAGCAAGACCTGGGATGAGTTCCTACCACCGGCAAGTTCACAGTAAAGACTGGTGGGAAACCAAGTGAACTGGAGCCCACGAGGACTCTGAATGTTTGCTTGTGTTGTGCTGTTGGCTGTCTGGAAACACGGCCTATCAGTGCTTTGGGCTTAGAATTAGATAGCTGAGCAACATTAAAGGTAGGAATAATGATAAGGAAAATGGCCTGAGAGCTGCTTATCCACCAGTGCTTCAGGAGAGGAGAGGTGTACATACAGATGCAATGCTACTCGAACCCATTAAAGGTAGTTAGTTGGCACCATATTTCCATCAGTGTATTTCTGTAATTTACTCCCTACTGGTGAAACCCAATCAATTTGCTCAGCATGCTATGAAAAGTCAGTGAGCAGAGCAGAAGACAGGGCTTAATATGCTCTTGGCAGCCTGCACTGCTAAGGAGTCACTCTGCTGCCTCCTCTATCAGCTGGAGCTTTTTCAAAGAGATGGCGGCTAGGGGTAGATTAAACCAAAACTAACAATTTATTTTGATACATGAGGGAAAAAAAAAAAAAAGCCCCTATAAATTTTGTCTTGAAAACTGATAGTAGCCCAAGAGTCAGATGGCAACAGGATGGAGTCATGAACTATGAGTGTGCCAGAGACACCTGAACTACCTAATATTGCCTATGCCAGAACATGCACATGGCACAACAGAGTCATGATACAAGAATGTTAGCTTAGTATTATTATTCTGCACTGCGAAAGTTCTGCTGGCTCTACTGCTTCCTCATACAATCTTATACTCTCCTCCTCTGATATCTTAACCCTGCACGGTCCAAACAAGTGCGTGCAGTGCTGCTCGCTGTGTGAATTCCTGTGCCAGACTGGATCAGAAATAAAAGCGGAGAGAGCAGGAAGCATGCCTGCTGGACATAACTATTTCAGTGCATAGTATTATCAGCCTAGAAACTCCTCTGTATGGGCCTTATCTAAGCAATGTGGCTGTGCGCCCGCACAAAGGAGGCTGTGTGTCTGCAGAGGAGTACGGTGGTTCTTCAGGCCGTTTCTCTCAGTTAGACAACGTAATCCCCATTTTGCAGTATTGATTCCACCGCAACCAGCTTGCTGCTCAGCCATGGTCTGAGCCCTTATCTACGCACCAGGCTGCATTGGAAGCAGTAGCGCTATTACATAATACACTGAAAAAGCAGGGCAAATTCTGTTGTTATGTGTGATGGTGACATCGCCCACCTGAGCAAAAAAGCTACTCTGGAGAAAAAGTGTACAGAGAGGAGCTACAAGTTACAAACCAGAGCAAGACACATGAGTACAAGCTCCAGTTTACATTGGCTCATTAGCACTCAGGATGTTGAGTGCACCAACAGGCCTTAATTACCCTGAGCTGAATTATCCTCACCTGAAACTGAAACCCACCCCCACATCCTGGCTCTGGGAGCTGCATTTAGGCTCAGTCTGGGGTTTGCAGTACTGGTCTGAGCTATGTTATAGATGTACCTGTCTCTAACCCTCTCTGCTGGATGGACTTCTGGGGCCTATGTTTGTAGCCTTGCCTGTGGCCCAGGATGGCACTGCTCCTCCCTGCACTCCCGGCAAGTCCTTGGATTCCCTGGGCTGTCAGTGGACCCTGTCAGCAGCACCCCGCTCTGGTGGGTATGCGCCAATCGCACACGCTGCAAGGCCACGTGCTGCCCGGAGAGGGCACTGCCTCAGCTGCCGTCATGGCGGGCGCTCGGCCTCTACTTCTTCACGGAGAAAAAACACTCTTGCTTTATCCCTGGCAGCCTGCGTGGAGCTGCCTACACCCACGCAAGAATCTCTAATGTTATCTTGTCCTTAATGTGTTCATGTCCCGTGTGAATCCACACAACTTGTAACCATTTATGGTTATGACCTGGTGGAGAAATGTAGCCGCTGCTGGGCCCGGACCAAACCGCGTATTGTGATGCCGGCAGTGACGGGGCCGAGCTCCGTCAATCCGGCTCTTATGACGAAAGCTGCCACCCTCCTCGCTGGCGTTCCCGCATCACCTCTCTGCATATCACCACTCTTCAAGGAAACGCAGGGAGCCGGGATCACTGAGAACTTGCCTGATGTTGCCGATCATGGGCTTCTAGCGCCGGGAGCGTTCCTGTGGGCTCCTCGGAGCGGGCTAGCGCGCTCCTGTCCTCTGTTTTCCCCAATATACTCCTCTAAGACATGGATTTGCCAGTGTGAAACAAGGTAGGAACTGGAAGTAAAAATCCAGCACATCGATTTCTGTAAATAAGCCAGAAGCAGGATGTTTCTATTCTTTTTGGCATTCTGCCACTTACTGAGCAGACTCAAATGAATCATTTAACTTTTGTTTCTACATGGGATAATAGCGATTAGCAGCTCAACAAAGATTTATGAAACGTAATTAATGAGGAGTCTTGGGTTTTTATTTTTTCCTCGGTAGGTCTATCAGTAGTATGCTATTCTCTAACCTTTGCGTTAGTCACCTTGGTCAGCTGCTGGAGTTTCTATTCCAGAGCACCCCAAACTTCTGCCATCTTCTTCAATCCTGACAAAAAACCTTTGTGATCAGAGAAGCACAAAAATAGTCGTTCCCCTTGCTGTCACCCCAGACTAGCACTGAGTACAGCCCAAGGGTTTCCATCACAATTTGACAAGTATGTCACTGTATTCACATAATAATGCAGCTCAGCAGCAGCAAAAAATGCAAGGTTACTTATAAGCAATAAAGACATACAGGAGTATGGAACAGCACATGCAGACTAGTCTTTATTTCACTCTTTAGCTCACTTTTTTATTGTACTTCTATGTCACTAATTTTGTGTAAGTTTCACCCATTAACTATCAGGGTTTATTCTTAGGGCTATCCCAATAGAGATTTTGAGGTAAGAGGTGGGAAAAATGCCAAAGGGCAGCTAAAGTAAGTGATATAGGACAACTGAGGGAGAGAAACATAATCTTTTAGTCACTTTTTATGTTTGTTTTGTCTGAGGAACAAATCTACATTTCATCAGTTCCTCAAGCATCACCTCTGCTTTTAAAGCATTGGTTCATTAGGGTTTCATACCTATTGTAATGGCCTGAGTTTATGATCAGAAAGATACTTGGACCCTTTGCTTAGAGACCACTTGCTAAAAGAGGAGTGAAGAACTGTGGAAAGCCGTATTAAGTTACTCTTTGTGCTGCAGACCGCTCATTAAACGTGTGTTTTTTGGAGGAGGCTCTGTTCATTAATAGTACAATAAATGTAAGCAAGAAGGCTTGTGGGTTTTTTCTTTTCATAATCTTCAGTTTTTCCAATGTATGTGTTTTTCTCTGTTTAACTTGTAAACATATTCTTGTTTTGTGAATAGGCAAAATGAGTAGCAAGTTTGATTTTAAGAGCCTCACTTCAAGCCAGACATCCCCTATGGGTGATCTTCAGAGAGTCCTTAGCCAAGGAGAATATGCCCCTTTGACCGCTGCTCCCATGTTTGAAAGCAAGTTTGTCCAGGTAAAAAGTCACTCAAATTAAATTATTTGGCATGCATAAGATGAAATTGCTTGAAGAGATTTTTTTTTTTTGTCTCCCTCAACTTGACAGGTGTATTCATTCATTTATTCCCCCTACTCTCTTTCTTCATTCTTTCATATACACATATCCACTTACAAATATAATTGGTTTCCTGTCTCCTACAGACCATTCTGTTCTTGCTTTACAAAGACTGGTCCAGAAATCCTGCAACAGCAAAGGGCAGTCAGCCTTCCCCACACTACCCCTGGCTCCCTCCTTTTTATATCCTTTAATATCCCTGCCTGTCACTTACTTACAATACAAACCACAGAACCTGCATGACCCTGGCAACAACCTGAATTCCTGTAATCTTATCCTCACAATGTATCTAAAGCCGATGGAGTTTATTTACATGGTATGCCTGACCAATGTTTTTTATAGGATTTCATTACCTTGCTTTGTGATAATTGCAATTGCAGAAGTCTTGATAAATTTGATCTTGCACTGTAGATATACGTGCAGAATGATGATTAGCAAACTGTCTCTATTTTCAAGGTACTTAATGATTTTATCCTCTAGTTTATTTATCAGGCCTCACTTGCTGTCAAGGCAGTAGCTGGCCTAATCAGTAAGCCCCAGAAAACAGCACCATCCCCCACTTGCTTACACCACAATAATAATTTTTAAAAAGACAAAAAAAGGCCTTTCTTTTTTTTTCCATACTCTCTCCCACAGTTGGGAGGATTTTTTGCTAGATATTCACAAATCTAATGCACTGTCCTCCCTCAAATTCTTTCTTGGAGGACAATTCCTCTGATTTCCTCCCTTACCAAGAATAAACCATGATGATGGTAGGGCATTTCATCTTCATTTAAGTATGGTTCTATAATACTTTTCAACTTATTCTCCTCTCCTTGCATTTTCTCATATCTGTGTGTTGCACATAAATTGCCCAGGACCTTTTTCCATTCTGTGCTCCTGGTTCATAACCAGGGCTCACGACTATCATGTTAATATTGACAAGGGCAAAAATTCAGCAGAACAGAGTGCTGCGTCCATCGTGTTTGCACTAAGAGAAATTAAAGATGCTGGTAGCTAGGGGCTCTCTTACCTCAGGAGTCAGGTACCTAGTGATGGGGGCTACACAAGGCAAGGGATTTCCTGGCCACTTTTTCTTTTCATTCATACATTTTCCCCTCATTATTCCGCTTTCTCCTCTCTCCTTACCACCCCATTACATAAGCTGCAGGAATCCCAGGCTAAGCCACAAAATGTACTGGTATATTCTCAGTGTGTGATCTCGTGGCTAACGACAGGATTTGGGGTTTTTGTTGTTGTTTTGTTTTACAGATTAATCGAAGAGGGGAACCCATTTATGTCCACAACCGACCCAACTGCGTGACCGTAGGTATCTGCAGCGCCAGCCCCAGCTCGCTCACACCCAGCGTGATGCTGCTAGCACATGAGGTGCCCGAATCCCTGCCAGAAAGTGCACCAAACTTCTGCAAATTGTCAGAGGAGTCAACGCACACAGAACAGCTCGCACTCACCAGGTGAGTTAGCACTGAGAAGGGCTAAATCATTCCTTGAAGAATAAATAAGAAATATGAATGTGCTACCACTTTTCATACGAGGTTTTCTTTCCTTTACGGGTCAGTTCATTAACAGACTTCACAGTAGGATCACTTAAGCTTAAGTACACACTCTTTGGCCCAGCCCTGATCACCATTTCAGAGTAAAGCTACCCACATATGTGTAGACAGATGATGACTGGGAATGTCTAACAAATAATTTTGTAAATATGTCAATGCTGAAAACTTCTAGTAAGGGTATGAAGGCTCATCAGGGAATATCCCAGGGAAATAAAGACATTGTAAAGAAACAAATTTCCTCTGCATCACTTCTATGAACTGCTGCTCAATATTTCTTCTATAATCAGATAGAGGCACTTATGAAAAGTGTCCAAATCCACTCAGGAATTCTTTCTGTTACATTCTCTCACCTACGGTCTTACTTCAGGTCTGACAGACACATTATCTTCTTTGAAAGGAGTCTCCACTTATGTTTTTACCATGACCTTCCTTTTTTTTTTTTTTTTTTTTTAGGTTTTTCCCTTTGAAGTTTGTAAAGCTCTCTGTCCACAGCCAAGACAAGCATCACCTCAAGTTAAAGTTAGTAAATGGCCGTTCCTACTATCTGGAGCTCTGTGCCCCACCAGACCAGCAGCAGCATCTATTCCAGCAGTGGTTACAGCTCATCTCTCTCCTGAGATCCCCAGAAAATACCGAGGTCAATGTATTATATGAGAATTTTAGCACAAGCCAAGAGAAAACTCACAGCCCAAACAACCTGTTGGAAAATGTGAGTCTTTGACAAAGCTGAAAAAACAGAAGGTATCGCCTACTTGTGTCAGCATTCCTTACTATGTCTCAAGTCAAACCTTTTGTGTCTGTTGAAGGAGCTGCAGACCTGCTTGCCAAAATAGCTCGCCTGCTGTAAATTCTCTAGAGAATTTCATGGGCATGCAGGTTCCTGGGTACATGTAGTCTCGGTGATCTTTTTTTTGAAAATGAAGAAATTACTTCTTATTGCTCAGTGTTTAGTTTTTGCTTGTATAGGAGGTAGCAGACTTCTATGTTCTTGAATGACTGTTTTCTGCTGGATTCCACAACCTGCTGAGAAAAGGCAGAGGAGAGACATAGCACAGCTGACTCTTGTGCAGGGACTCAGAGCTAATAAGCAAGGAGGGCTAAAGTATTTGATCCAAAGGACAAAAAAGGTAGAAAATATTTCAGTGAAATACAGTAGACAGTCAGAGTGGAAGAAGACAGTTGTTCGGTGTAACTAAGAGAGAAACAAGAAGCAGAGAGACCTGAAATGCCTCAGGAGGTCCTGAAGAGCAAACACACACACACACACACAAATTCAACAAAAGCACAGGAGGGATTACCTTAGAGCTGCACTTATAAAGGAGCTTGGCTGGTTAGTGATGCTGAGGAACACAGTATCTAAAGTTATCTCCCACGCTTTTTGTCAGCGCAGACATTTCTTAACTGTACTTATTTCTTCCTCAATCCAATGCACTTTTTAGCCAGACAGAGGGATGTCCCTAGAGAGGAGGAAAATGCACAATCAAATAACCAATGCTGTGCTGCACATGCCACTACCTTTTCACCACACTCAACAGCTCCCATCCCTTCCCTTGCCATGGGAGCAGAAAGAGAGAGAGACACTTTGTCCGTTTACTGCAGAAAAGTGGCAAGGAAACTAGAAAAAATACTATATTGGTGAGAGGAGAATTATGTCTATAAAAATCAGTGATGAGCTAGAGACGTTCAAAGAGAAGGGAAAAAGTTACACATTCAGATTAGTCTTGCAATAAGTATTGAACATGAATTGAATATGTGGCTGAAGAATCTGCATAGCCACGTCCCACAGCCATACTGGATAAATCAAGAATACATGGGTTGTTAAAGCATAGGATTTATAAAATTTCTCACTTGATAATTTTCCTGCTACAACTATCCCTTCACAGCCATCTTTTGGCCAGGAGGAAGTGTATTCTGCTTTTTCTCTTACCAAAGGTCAAAGTTCAGATCCTTTCACAGCCTTCTTGGCACAAGAGGATCTGATATGAGTTAGGTTCTGTGCATGGAAGATGTTACTACTGCCTTGATATGCTACAAAAGATAATTCCTAGAATCCTAGGAACTATATTTTCCTAGACAAAGATCTAGAATATCTGTTCTTCTTTGCAGGAGACATGTGTTGTTAGCATTACATGTTTGACTTTCTCCAGCTGTGTCCATGTTTCAATGCCTTGAAGAGTTGAGTTGAGTTTTTCACTAACTGAATAGTTTCCTCACTATTGAGTTTTCTACTAACTTTTCATAAATTTGGGATTTCCTTTGCACAATTACTTCTCTGCTCTCTTCTTGTTTAGAGAGAAAGCTCACTCTGCATTTGAAAGAAGTACAGGTTCCCCTGCCTCAGCTACCTGAAAGCAAGAAATTTAAAAGGATTTTAGTAGGGACCAGTATCAAAATCAGGACAAGAAGCAGAGCAAAGATCTCATATAGTAGCTTATGGACATGAGCAAAAAAAAAGGGGGGGGGAGGGAGTAACTTGGAAAAGGAATCATCATCATGAATCAGAAACAGAGAACTAGAAGGTGAAGCCACAAACAGATCTCAGAAGTTAAGCTTTGGGGTCTGTTATTCCTTGATGGGCTGCATAGCTGTAGGCCCATAATCACTAGCAATCTGATATGTAGGAATATTTCCACTGGTGGTAGTTTCTGTTCTAGACAGATAATATTATTTTTTCCTATGGATCGTCCATCTGGCAACATTTTATAGCAGAATATTCAGCATATAGGGGAATAACATATAAAAAATGATTTTCTGATCTCATCACAAAGTTGCAGTTATGCTGATAAGCTCTGAGCACAGCCCTCTATCTCTCTTTTTTTTTTCCCTCTTTTTTTCAACAGCCCTCTATCTCTCTTTTTTTTCCCTCTTTTTTTTCTTTTATTTTATCCATTGCTACTCTGTCTATTAACCTTTCATTTTTCCTTCAAGAAGAACAACACACAAGATGTCCCTAGCCCAAAAACAGAGGAAGAAAAAAGTAGTATAAAAACCTCCTCCAAGCAAGATCCCCTCTCAGGTATAGTGGAGCCCAATGAAGAGAGCAGAAGGAAAGAGGTATCTTTCCACAGCTCCCTGAAACCAACCAGGCAAGGAAGCACCATGGAGTCAAAGGATAAAGCTCATCTGGATAGAAAGAAAAGCAAAAGCAAAAGCACAGACAAGAGGAAAGCCAGGTAGGTGTAGCTGGGAAATGATTTTGATATAGCTGATTTTTGCTGCTGGACTTTGAAGACTGACATATGTTGCATTTTTGAGCAATAAAATGCATGCACTGGCATTTCTGGGCAATAAGGCTTCAGGTTCTCAGTCCTTCATGTGTCTCGAAGGACCATTTCCGATGCTGTCTTCCCAAGACACGCAGTCAGACTGGTAAGCAAAAGGGCATGAATTTTCAGTGATTTCCACGGGCAGTGCTCTCCCTGAATGAAGAAGAATCTTTACAAGGGCAACTCTGAGAATGATGCCCGCTGACTGATTAATTGGAGATGGACTATCCTGCCTACTTTTTGCAACTGTCAGCAGCTGTATCAAAGTGCCCTGAAAATTTCTTTCTCTCTTCTGCTACTCATCCTGTAAGTGCCAGTACAATTCAGAGTGTAAGACTTAATTTTCATAATGTGAAGTCTAACTATAGCTTTCAAAGGCAGAGCAGTAGCAGGTTCCTCAGATCCCTCTGTGACAGTGAAGCCAGATTCAATTCAGCAGAAGCTGATGGTAAGACGGTGCCTTTGCCACACGAGTCTGCTGTGGGAAAGGTGCCACTCCGAGCCAACATGAAAGGGGATCTCACCTGCCTCATCTATGAAGGAATTGCACAGCATGGAGCAGACTGTGATTCCTTTCTGTGCACAGTGAGCTAAATGGCGTGGCACCAGAGCTGTCTTTTCTGTATAGCCTTCACAGCTATATCCTACTCGTGCCAAAAAAGAACAGATTTTCATTGGTGGTGTTGCACAATTAAATAAAGGTTAGGTGGTAAAAGGAAAGAAAAACTAACTGCTACTTACATGAGCAAAATATAAGCACACAACTGTGGGACACCTGAGAACAAGACTTCAGTATAATTGCTTTTCAAGCCACATTTGACACAAATGATGAGTTCAGATGTGTGTTATTTAAGCTCAGTTTATAGCATTCAAATATCTCTGCATGTTAGTGTGCCAGCATTCCAATGCCATGACTGCTATGCACATTGAGCAAGACATGTTTCTAACTGTAGGCAGGCAGAGTTTTTAAAATAGTATCTATATAACGCCGATCCTAGTCAGTAATTACATTATTAGGATAAGTTTAGGTCTCATTTTGTAGTCAATGACATCATGTTAAATCCTTAACGTTTTTGTTTGTTTTTAGGACAAGTGCAAAGAAGCAAAAAAGTGAAAAAAAACTGCAGACTTCAGGTATGACAGAAATTTTCTGCACATTTACTCATTTCCGCATTGCTGTTCTCTACTGCAACAGTAGATAAGAGAAGCTGAAACTTTGAGTTGTGAGATCTTTAAAACTAATATTTCCGTGTCTGTATTGCCAAAAGATTGACACTTGTAGGGCCATATGATAAGGTACCATGTGATCAAGCCCCACCTTTCAGAGTTCAGTGTCAGGTTGCAAGGAGATATTGTTGACCCATACCTCTTCTTCCAGGGTGCAAAACGTAGAGCACTTTATGCCCCCTACTTTGTGCCTGAACTTGCCATCATTCTGCGTGCAGGTGAACTGGTCTCGTGAATAAAAACTTTTGCAATCTTCCTCCATGTACTTCTCTGTCTTGCCAAGTCAAAAAAGTCTGAATGAACTCCTGGCCTATCAACTTCTTGGGTTTTTTTTTTTTCTGTGTTTGTGAACATGATGCTACTGTGTCTTCCTCTTGGTTCTTGGCCTGCGGGCTGCATGCAATTTATCTTCCTGTTTGCTAGCTGGCAATCTTAGTTATCTACAAAGACTGAAAGGAAGTCTTTTGTTTTAATACATAACCTCATTTAAGTATTTTTCTCAATTTTTATTCCTATGTGCATCTCTCTCTCATCCACTTATAGGCGCTTGTCTATCTGCCCAAAAATCTTGTTGCAGCTCTCTCTGCCTCTACTTTGGTATATGAATCATTTCTAATATCTCATTGTTATGTTCTTTTTTTCCCTTTCGCTCTCTCTCTCTCTCTTCCTCTTTGACCAGTTCTTCATTAAGAAAAAGGGGGATGGCCGGGGAGCAAGGGGTTACTAGGCTATAAACTAGCTCATATTCCAAAACCTACTTCATCTCTCCACATAATGTGGAGACAAATGACAACAAAGTATTTAGATTTAATCAGCAGTAACAAAGTGCACAGTCCTAGATTTACTGTTTTTTTTTAAAAAAAAAAAAAACTCATTTCTTGCATTTTAAAACCTTCTATCTGCTCGGACTCAGTGTTACAATTTGGTGCTTTTAGCAATTTTACTGTATAAACTGTAATAACAGAGAAGTAGTGAAGCAATCAGAACTGACTTCCTTCATATATTTTCCTACCATAGACACACATCTATAAGGTCATTCAGAGGAAAAAAAATAAAAAGCTGTGTTGCCAAGCCCAGCATGAGAACTTGCTGCATTGAGGGATAGGGGCTTCAGGGCACTCCTGTTTATTGCAGTCATTTCTCCTCTAGCATTTTGTCTCTATTTGCTATTCTATAAAAATGATTACTTTAGGTATTTATTTTTGTAGTAAAGTTTTTGCAGAATATTTTTCACAGGAATAAAAAGTAGCTGACTGTATTTCCCATCTTTTTTTTTTCTCTCCTTTTTTCTCTTACCACCTTTGCCTCTTTTCCTTTATCTGTTTTTTTCCTCAGTAGTTTTCAGTTTTTCAGCTTTCCCTCTCATGAGCTTTCCTGTTCCTTCTCTCTAGCTCTAGATAATTCTTTCTCTCACCCACCAACCCTATTCTATGCTTCTTCCTCTTCTTTAAGCTCCTCTTTCCTCCAAATATGTATTATTCCTCTGTGCAAATCTCTTGCCCACTTTTCCTTATTCTCTCCCAATCTGCATTCTACCCCCAAGTCCTGAATTTGCCACACTGAGGCAAAGGCAGCAGCTGTTCATCCAAAAAACAGTTAAGGATGTAAGAATAGTAAGGAAAGCTGAAAATCCATTGCCTCTGGTCTCTGTCTCCTCCTTTACAGTTCTTTGTGTTTCTCTTCTCTGTGCTGTTCTCTCTTTTGATTCCCTTTCCCTTTGATTCTCTGCTTTCCTGTGCTGCTTTCCTCATTTTCATCATGTTCCTTTACAGGAAATCTAAAGAGTGGCAATAAATCAGGTATAGTCTGCTGCAAGTAATATTCCAGGTGGTTAGTCAGAGAGAAGGAACAAAAGAAAATAAAGCAAAGCATCTTGGATACCAAATGCAGTTGGGACAGGGAACAGAAGAAAAAATCGCCCTGCAGACTTCAGCTCTGTTCATAACCTTCTACTATTGTGAAATTAACTGTTACGGAAACACAAACTCTGTACTCATCTGGTGGTTAATTCACAACTAACAACATCAAATAAACTCGTTTTGGTCCATGAGAATGGGATCTACATTTTGCAGTGACTTACACTTGGGCATGATATGGCCCTGTGTGGGAGCAATGGTGTCACTGATTGAATTAACAGTATTATTCCAGCGGTACCCAAGAGCTGATGGGACGTGCCCGCCGAGAGAGTGAATCACCTTTCCTTATGCTATTTAATAGCAGTCATCCTAGGGATTGTTCATGCTACCCTTTCTCTGTTCAGTCCAGAATGTAGAAGAATTTTATTTATTTATTTATTTAGAGAATAGCCTTGTTCCAGCCTAACTAATGAACTTTGTTTGTTTTTTTTGTTTGTTTGTTTGTTTGTTTGTTTGTTTGTTTTTTTGTTCTTTCCTCCCTACCTCATCCCTGTGCTAGTTTGGCACTTCGGACCTTTCTGACACTATACAAAATTTGTAGCAGTTGGTGCAAGAGCCTTTTCTACAGTTCTGCAATCTGATACAGGCACCTTTATGTCTCTGCCTACTGTGAAAAAGCAGCAGAGGTTCTAAAACAGCTATAGATTGTTGAAGTAAGAGCTAGTTGCCAAAACAAGAATGGAATTCCTAGATATGCAGTCTGGTTGTATGTTGTCTTCTACTGCTCTTGATACTTGCAGCTTGAAAATTTCTGTGTAGTTTTACGGTAGGTGCAATATTTTACTCAAGGTTTGAAGCAAAAGTTCTGCATAAACGTAGCTAAGCAAGCGACAGGGAGGACTCGGTGGGCTTTTTTTCCAAAAGAACACAGACTTCCAAAGAGATGGTGTTTCTTGAGAATCCTAAGTTAAGAGACTACTCCTCTGAAGGCAGCCCATGTATAATCGAATTGCAATCTGGGATGCCATAGAAAAAAAAAAAAAAGGTAAGTAAGTTCCAATTCAACAAAACCATGACTGAGAGTGGAATTCAATATAACTGAATACAACTATTCAATATTACTGAAAAATCCAGTGTATTTTTTATTGTGAAAAAAAACTCGTGAAAAGAACAAATTGGCAACTAGTGACAAGGAGGAAACTTTAAGGCAGTCCCAGAGGACATTTTCTGCTTGAGGATCAGCATGTTGTTGAATGTTTATGAAGTGCTTTCGTGTACTACATGGACAAATGTAAAATACTGTAGAGAGAGGCAGTAGAGAGACTGCCTGCTGGTGCATACAGTCAGTGATGTTATCATTTACCCACTGAAAGTGGAGAGAATAAAATTAAGAGGGTGGCACACTGGAAACACCGGGCATATCCCTGTGGGGTCTCTCCAAAATGCTGGGGGACGCAGCCCCCCCTTTTATCCTAATTTCCCGACCGAGGGACGCCCTCTCCTTTTCCCCATTGGCCAAGGTACTCAGAAGTTACAGCCTTCCCGGCCCGCCTACACCGAACTCCGGCCTCCCGCCATCTGTTCTCACCTGAGCTCACCAACTCCTTTGTCCCCCTTGCTGAAGAATGTGGGGCAATTGCCCTATTTCCCTTCTTTGTAAAGGCCCCATCTCCTTGCAGATGGCTCCTTTTGTCCTTCTGGGCTCATGGCTCCACTCAGTCTCCCCTCCCTTTGTCCTGCTCTTCAGCCAAACTGTGGAGAAACCCCCTTATTGATGAATACAGAAACTTGAGCATTCCGCTCACCACCAAGGCTTAGTTTATGCTGTGATCAATGGGTCGGAGATGTCTGCTAAAGCTCATGGCAGCAACGTGACACTTACTTGAATGTTTACAATCCTTAAGCACCGTGTTTCTCTTCACTGACCGAACAGGCAGGTGGGGGCCTTTAGCTGTAGAAGCCAGAGTCAGTCAGAACAAGGTATTGTGCTGCCCAAAATAGTCACTCTTACACACACATAACCTATCCCAACCATTGAAGGACCTTGAAGAGACATGTTGTGACAAAGGACTCCTGCACTGTGAACTGCAACTCTTGTTCCACCTCAGCTCATTGGAATGCAACCTGAAATGCTCTTAGTCAATATAGCAAGGAGAAGCAACTTGAAAGTATTGTATTTCCCAGGCTACGTTGTTGAGAAGAAGGCTGAACTGAGTCTTCAAATTGCAAATGCAGTAAAATGCATCCTAATTGCTGTGCCTGGGGCAAACTAAAGTAACTCAGCATGGATGCTTGCTGGGTTATATACAAAAACAATCTTATAGTGGGCTGATTTAGAAGGCTGGTACGCAGTGTCGACTCAATG